ATCAGTTGTCTGACTTCCATTTTTGTGGAAGTCTTGGTGGCTGAGCGGGTTAGGCGGCTGACTTTGTGTGTTGGCGATTAGGTGCCTGACTCTGAGGCTGTGGGTTTGAATCCTGGATGGGATTCAACCCAACAAAAGTACAAGAATCTGTTCTTTACTAAGAAAGTATTGTCCCAATTATAACACATGTGACTTTATCTATGTTAGCTAATTCATCACTGGAAATTCTGGAGGAAAGCATTTGAAATATTGGCAAACAAAATAAAGACAAACACTTTCTGGATTTTATTCCACAATTATCATGGTTATACATTCATGTTGGTAACAAATGTGTACAGAAAACACAGTGAGAGTCAGCTGACAGCTAACACAGTGACCCTCACAAACCAGGGCAAGCCTTCAGCCTGGCAGCCAGGCCAACAGTAAACACACATGGCCAGTCTAGATATGCAAAATGTAGAAGAAAACTTCTAAATGTCAAACCTCACGCACATACATATCCTAAAACTTCATGTTAATACTTGGATTTACTTCCTGCACATGCTAATCACGCTGGTGAAATAATTATAAGGGTGTAGAGGAGATTCATTAGTCCTGGTGAAACTGCACTACCATTTAACCACAACTACCCACTTCCTGGTCATCTCCATCTGGCCCAGCACTGAGGAATCCTGCTGGACAGTTACATTATATTATAAGGTAAGCCAGCAATCTAAATTTACTTGTAGGCTGCAAAACAAACTCTCTTTATAGCCTGTTAATTAAATATGATGATATTGTATTGATACATGACCTCACCAGATGCGTGTTGTGATGTAGTGAAGCTTTGTTGACTCATTTCAGCCCTGTCTGTGACTATGACATGTAAATATTGGTAACAAAATCTCAAGTGAAATAATTCCAGTCTTTTCTTGGTCTTAAAGACCAAACAATGGAGGGATTCCTGGTAAGTATACAAGAATGTTCATAGTGTATCTTTATTTGGCCTTTTCTGTATGGACACAACCTAATGAAATCATTTCAAATTGTTAAACTATCATCATTAACAAAACCCAAACCTCTAATCAACAATTTGTTTTAATGTTCTGAGAGTAAATCAATAAAGACTTATCAAGGTTAAAAGTACAAAAAGTCATTAATAATTAAGCCTCAGGGTACACAAAACAAAACCGGAACTATTGTTGATTATTCGAGAATTTATCATTACCGAAGTCTAAAATCAAAAGTCAAAGAAACCTTCTCCAAAGTAAAATACCATGTAAAATACCTACATATTAGAATGACTTACACAGATGAAGTACCAGTACAGTACCTTCTACATAGATATAAGCATCTTCTACATAGATGGTAAATTTGTGTTAGACTGTGACACCAATATGCTTCCATGGGTATAAATTTTAATAAAGCATGGAATAAATAAGGACATATCTCCAAAGCATGTTTTCTGTAACACAATAATCAATAGATGCAGAGGCTTTGGATTTGAACATATCACATACCAGTTCAATGCACCTCCATCAGCTGCACCTCATGTACAGGGTCCATTTCATGTATCACAGAATCTTATTTCTTTGACTGAATCATTCACAGGTATAATGAACAGTGACTGAAAATCACACTCCCAGTATGAAAACATCAGAAATTAGACCAAGTCTAAGGCACCACCAATATTAAGATCCAGGTTCACGTTGTGTTTAGCAGTATCAGCCAATTTATCATGTACTTACATCAATAGGGAATTCAACATTAACTCTTGGACTCCTGAAAGCAATTAGCTCTGTATTTTGTGTTCCCCCAAAATGTTGACCCTTGGTTGCCAGCCATTTATCACATAGATAATCGCCATATACCTTCCAAAAGTAACTAAATAGAAACAATTTTTTCTTGCCAGACTGAATAGACTGAGAAGCGTTGATGCAAACAGTTATGTGTGAATTAACGTTTGAACCATCCAGTGGTGATTGGTCTTTAACATTGCATTACATGTATCTTAGTACGGTGTACAAATACTGCATGTACATGTATCTTAGTACCGTGTAGCGATACTGCATATAGGCCTGTGCATGTTTAACCTGCATATGTTTACCTTGCCATAAGAAGTACATGATATCTGAAGAAGTACATGTATCTTAGTACGGTGTACAGATACTGCATGTACATGTATCTTAGTGTACGGTGCATGTACATGTATCTTAGTACGAGATACTGCATGTACATGTATCTTAGTACGGTGTACAGATACTGCATGTACATGTATCTTAGTACGGTGTACAGATACTGCATGTACATGTATCTTAGTACGGTGTACAGATACTGCATGTACATGTATCTTAGTACGACAGATACTGCATGTACATGTATCTTAGTGCGGTGTACAGATACTGCATGTACATGTATCTTAGTACTGTGTACAGATACTGCATGTACATGTATCTTAGTAATGGTGTAAATACAGATACTGCATGTACATGTATCTTAGTACGGTGTAGATACTGCATGTACATGTATCTTAGTACGGTGTACAGATACTGCATGTACATGTATCTTAGTACGGTGTACGATACTGCATGTACATGTATCTTAGTACTGTGTAGCGATACTGCATGTACATGTATCTTAGTACGGTGTACAGAAACTGCATGTACATGTATCTTAGTACAGTGTACAGATACTGCATGTACATGTATCTTAGTACGGTGTACAGATACTGCATGTACATGTATCTTAGTACGGTGTACAGATACTGCATGTACATGTATCTTAGTACGGTGTACAGATACTGCATGTACATGTATCTTAGTACGGTGTACAGATACTGCATGTACATGTATCTTAGTACGACAGATACTGCATGTACATGTATCTTAGTACGGTGTACAGATACTGCATGTAGGTCTGTGCATGTTTTATCTTCCTAATAAAGTACATTGCTCTGAAGAAGTACATGTATCTTAGTACTGTGTAGCGATACTGCATGTAGGTCTGTGCATGTTTTATCTTCCTAATAAAGTACATTGCTCTGAAGAAGTACATGTATCTTAGTACCGTGTAGCGATACTGCATGTAGGTCTGTGCATGTTTTACCTTCCTTAATATGAAGTACATGTAAATTGCTCTGAGGTGAGGTGAAATTGGGTTTATCGTTGTGCTTGAGAATATTTCGCTCATATGACGACGTACATTGCACTGAAGAAGTACATGTACATGAATTTTCCCATGATGGTCACTTATAAGACATTCCTCGCAGATAATCCCATGAAGACAGGAGCTGTCAGACCAAGGTCATTATGGAACACAGATCGTGACTAGTTGATCATCCAGGCCAGTACATCTGGACTTAGGATCCTACTTGGCAGCACTGAACACAAACATTGTAATAAACTATGCCCAAGATGATGTAAATAGCATACAGCTAAATGTTGAGTGCAAGATATTAGGTGCTATAAGTACTGGCACTGAATGACTTGGGCAACCCAGGCTTTACTTCCTCACTATCACAGTGAAATGGATTTACGTTTCCAGTGCATTTGACGGACAACTTGAGAAAAAATCCTCATATTGTTCAAAATATGGTTTGTATGTTATCATTGTCCTAAATTTTGAGAAAAAGGGAAAGTTTGGTTCAAATTGGGAAATTTTCTGACATTTGCTGCAGAATTTGGGCTGAATACTGGCTTCTGAGCAGGTCAAGATAATTCCTGAGTTTCCCCTCATTTAGACTGATAGAGCATCACGACCAACATTGGAACAGTTACATGCACCTGCAACTCAGTCTAAAGAGGAGGACAATATATGGAAGATATTTCTTCATTATCTGTGCAATTATCAGTTGTTCCCAAATCATTTATGTCTAATCCGCCAAACTGTTTCTCACACAATAACAACCAACCAGCTACTGAAGTCAAAGGTTCTTCACTTGGACAGATTCACTAAGCAAATGGGCATCATAGGAATTACAAACAGACAACAGAATTAGAAAAACTATGAAATAATCTCCAAATGATTTTACATCTGCTTAATATTTCTTAGTTAACTCACAATTATAAACCATTTTGAGGTTGGTAAAAGATGTAAATGAAGAAACATATATTCTCCAAAAATATCACATAAATGCTGTGTGTAAAGATTACCCTTCAGGAAGATTTACCCATCATGTTGAAGGAGCAGAAATAATGCACTGTGCAGTTTGGTAGGTAATGACACACAATATCACACCTGGTGTTGACATGTTTCACACTGACAATAATACGTGCACTTATATTGCGCCAAACTCCAGGCACAGAGAGCTTGCTGATGACACTACAAACAAAATGAAGTCACTGCAAAAAGGCGAGATTTTTCATGGGTGCACACAAGTTATAGAAAGTCCTGAAGAGATAGGTTTTGAGGTCGCTCTTAAAAATGTCGAGGGATTCTGCCTCCTTGATTTGAAGAGGTAACAAGTCTGTTTCATCATGATCACTAATACCCTTTTACTTGAAGTTAATAATGTCCACTAACAATAGTAACATAACCACATGAAGTGTCTTCTTTGATGGGCATTTTAGACGTTGAGGTGATAAGAATAAGATAATCTTATGGATATACAACTTCTTTATTCTGTGAAAGGCAATGTTTTGATATAGATTCAAATGTTCACTTGCTTGACGACATTAGAATCTATGTCGAAACATTGTCTTTCACAGAATAAAGAAGTTGTATATCCATAAAATTATCACCATTCTTCACATGAAGTGTGCTGAACAGTAGGACAGTTACATCACAGCAGTCAGCACAGTGAGGGAGAAAAGCCTGTGTCATGCTGGTCTTAGATTTTTACCATTTTGGAGACTGACTGACTGACTGAGTTTGGTTTTACGCCGCTTTTAGCAATATTCCAGCAACATCACGGCGGGGGACACCAGAAATGGGCTTCACACTTTGTGCCCATGTGGGGATTCGAACCCGGGTCTTCGGCGTGACGAGCCAACGCTTTAACCATTAGGCTACCCCACCGCCCCACCATTTTGGAGAAAGCAACAAGCTTGGTGCCAACATAGTTCTGTACACAATGCTGTGACTTTGACAAACAGGCCTCCTGTGTCCCCTAACCACTGAACAAGAAATCTCACAAACTTACTTCATGGTGCTGAGTCAAGATTTACATAACTATGTCTGCCATGTTAATCACTCACCACACGAGATCTTTATCAATTACTGCAATTATTGCTTGGGAGTCTTATTTATGTGGATACACAGAAGAAAACCTTAATTAATCATTCCTGAATACCATGAGAAATAAAATAACTGAAATGCATAATTGCATTGACCAATTAGTAGCAATGTTAGCCTTAGCCCTATATCTATTATGCCAACTATTTTCATTGTCCATAGGGGCACTTCTTATCAGCTTATCATGCTCATAGTCTAGCATTCAATTAGATAATGCAGGGACAAATGTGATGATATACTGATAGTAGAAATCCTATACTGACAGTCACACTATCACATGTGTGTTCTCATTTCCACCTACACCATGCATATTCCCCTTAACAGTTTTGTTACATACTACTTAAGTAAGTCAGACACAAGGAGACAAGAAAAAAAGAAAGAGTAAAAACATATTTTTAGTTTTATGCTGCTGCAATGTTCCACCTAAAGTTCGAAATTTCAAAACAAGAAATAAAATATTCATCCCACCCATAGTGTTCTGTGTTAAAGTAATTCCATCGATCATGTGTATAATGTTTAAAAGTAGGAAAGTAGTGAAAGATATCTGGATGTACACAGGCCATGTTTGGGTGATCAAAGTAAGGTCTGACAAAGAGAAAACTATATTCTGTATTACAGTGCCTCATTAACCATGTTAACATGAAGACAATACCTCCTCTTACTTGAGCATGTCATAGTTACTTCATCACTCAGACTATTAAACAATACACGCTAAGGGAAATAAAAATATTACTAGACACTGCCAGGTTAGCCACAGCTGGTGAATGGTTGAGTGAGTAAGGTTTTAAAACTATTGTGCTGTTGTTATCCTGTCTATCAATCTTTTTTCAAGTCATGGCAGGGGATCATCATGCATGGACTGCACATTTTGTTCACATTGTAGCGATGGCCGTGTGCATAATCAAACCAGGGCTCGATTTAAGAAAGGTTAACCTACTTGCACCAGGTGCAACCTAAGATAAAACCTAGTTGCACCAGCCAAATTCCAGTTGCAACGTAGTGTGTTAAAACGTCAGAGGTTTTGGAACATATTTCCGTGATATAGTACCTATGAAACCATAGCAACACAGAGACACAGCTGATCCCTGTTTACAAGAGTTGTCATAGCCGAAAAGTGTATATGAATAGCAATTTTTCAGTGCCATAGCTATTCAAAGTTTAGAAGAAAAATGAGCTGACATATTTATGCTTATAATGTTAGATTTATTGTTGATTTATTTCTCAAAAATTGACTTGCACCTTGTGCAAGTTAGACTGCTAACTAGGTTGCACTTTGTAATATTGCGTTGCACCAGTGCAAGTAACAAAGCACTAAATCGAGCCCTGCAAACCCATGTCCTCTGCATGACAAGCAGACACAGAAACCGCTATGCTGCCCCTTCCCATTAGATGTAGAGGATACTGCACAGGTGCATGATGGCTAACGCAAAATAACTGTTAATTAGCGGATCACTCCTGGAGATCTGAGATGTACATAATACTAATGATCATTTCCATGAATGAAATAAGAAAAAAAAATTGTCATAGGAATTTTCTTTGGAAAACAACTAACAACAGGACTATTGATATATGCAACATGGAAATACACAGCTGGATATAGTATGACATCACCATGATCACTCACAAACATGTTTTCAGTATGGACAAACACAGATGTACGGGACCTTACTGGACGTGGTTAGAGTCATAATATTGAATGAGCACGGAAGGTTAGTCACGCTCTTGGCACAACGTAAATCAAGTCTATGGAAAAAGTAAATTACAGTCACTGTCATTCTCATCCCATAAAAATAAATTCTCAAAACCTCTTTGCGAAAATATCTAGTATATAACAAAATAGGAGCCACTACAGCCACAAGCATAAAAATAAACACAACGCAAGCACTGCTGTTTCTGTTTGATATAAAACACACACTCTGTCAGTGCATTGCTATAAAACTTTCTAACTTCTTTGGAACAATATCTTTATAGTCCAGACTGTGCTTCATGATTTTCCTTGCAGCTAGGCACTGTAAGCTTATAAAGCTTAGTGGCGACACAATATCGTTGATTGTCATTCCTCGAATCAGCTGCATGGGAGTCTTTCTATCATTGTTACAAGCGTCTAAGTGAGCCCCAGACTTGAGTAGAGTCCGAACAATTTCTACCCGACATGGGCGGTTTGATGGAGTAGTATGTACATTACTGGCAGCAGTGTGAAGCGGCGAGTTGCCATCAACATCAACAGCATTAACATCAGATCCTACTTCTACCAGCAGTTGCACAACATCATTTGTTGGGAAGTTGCACACAGGGTAACGACCAACATTAGTTGTTTCTTTCGCACATGCCAAGTGGAGTGGCGTATAACCCTTAGACCCCCGAGGATCAAACTGCACAAAGTCATAGACGGTTTGTTTGAAGCTATGCTCCTGTTCCTCCTCAAGCTGAGACTGTAAGCGACACACTAAGCACAGCAGGTGCATGATTATCACAAGTAGACGATGAAAGTGGGTAATATCTCGGTCAGCGACATTGGTCTTCATCAACACCTCTTTTCCCTTTTTCAGTTCATGGATAGCTCGAACAAGAACTTTCATGATGTCTTTGAAGTCCACAGGATGTGGAGGTCGGTATCTCCACTCTGTGGTCATAAAAGAAAACAATTCCGCAAAAGATAAGAAACTGCTTTGAGTCATTGGGCTAAGGGGTTCTAGGACCTGCTGCTGCATGTCTAAGGCATACATCCATAGCATGATACAGCGGTCAAAGTTACCCATATCTGCGTACAATGCACCACGATACCGGATATAATAGGAAGTGTCTGGATGAGCTGGGCCTAAGATACGTTCGCGTACTAATAATGCTTGCATTCTCATATCATCAGGATCAGCTATTAGATCATCCAGCTGATCACAGGAAGTCACTTCTACAGCATTTTCATATGCTGCTATAGGTGATGCTGTCTCTGGCTTCAAGATTGGACGATTCCTTTCCTTGTATCTCTCCTCCATTGCTTGTCGCCACATGTGAATAGCACCCATCATATCCCTCTTCTTGTCTACATAAGTAGCACCAAGCAGTTCCAGGGCATCAATTTTCTGTTCACGAGAACACTCTCGCCTGTCTATAAGAAACTCAACAATCTTGGTGAATCCTGCAACTGCAGCAGCCAGGAGAGGTGTCATCCCATAAGCATCCTTCTCCATCCGAGCCAAATGTTTTAAAAGCAACTTCATGATTTCCAAGCTACCTGACTCTGCACAGTCATGAAGAGCAGTATTACCTGAAACATAACAAAGAATCTGACAGTTTCTGAAATATCAATTTTAAATGTCACAAATATGAATTCCTATCAGCATGATTTAACATCAAAAACAATCTGAATCATTGGTACTTACATCAAAATAATAAGGCAAATACTAACACAACTGTATTTGTGCAATGCCACAATAAAAGTGCCACATCATAATTATCATAGTCGCCTGTACATATGCAAGCATGAACTAAGCAAACAAAACACAGATGACACCTTTGTTGTAGACATTTTCTTATCTGGTACCTGAAGGGATTTTTTCACTTGTTTGTATTTTCAGTAAATAGCAATGCCAACCTTATTACTTTATGTTCACTCCTTAATTATTTGTGAAGGCCAACAAAGTACCTTGAAAGAACCACTTTGGTTCACTATAGATCATGCTAATCATCCTACAGGCATACTTAGGCATGTCCATGCTGTTAGGATTGATTATTTTCTCACACAGAATAGTTTTTGAGTTTAGATGAATTACAGGGGCAGTGTCTACAGATGTACACTAATGGTTCACTATGGTTATATATGGGCACCAAAATATTTTTAAAAATAATGTTTATAGAATGGACATGTATTAAAACATTATTAAAAAAGCCTTGAAGTGAAAGCTAATAAGTATAACATAGAAAAACTAAGGTTGAAACGTCTCATTGTACTAAATTTACTAATGCCTGTCAAAATAAGTGCTTTTAAAATTGCATTCTGTGTACTGGCTCTCTGCCATGTTCAAACCTCAACGAATAAGAAGTTAGTTTCAGTAAACCAAATCAGACTTTCTTATAATCAAATGGCAACATTACCTTTAACACTCTTTCTATTGACATCTGCATTAAGTTGCAAGAGGTATTCAGCTATTTCCTTGTGTCCCTTATAGCAGGATATCATCAAACATGTGTGGCCATGGCGATTGGCGATTTCAATGTCAGCATCATGCTTAACCAGATACTTCACAATCTCAAAATGTCCATCAAAACATGCAGCTCTGAGAGGAGTAGAGTTTGTGTATGTTGTCTTATTGACCCCCGCTCCTTTCTCAACAAGAAACATCACCACCCCCAAGTGGCCCGCTGCTGCAGCACACCAAAGGGGAGGGGCACCCTCAATCGTCTCTCCATCGAAAGTGACAGACCCAACTTGTTCTATGTCTGCGGTACATGATTCAACTAGGTACTTTACAACTTCAAGATGACCATTACGACAAGCCATTATCAGAGGAGTTGCCCCATTTGTTTTTGCATGGATTAATTTTGACACCTCGTCTTTAGTTTTTCGGTCAAGATATATCCGAAGACGGCCGAGTTTGCCGTCTCGAGCTGCGTTGTAGACGACACTACGGTACTCCATCTGTACTGTTGTCCCTCCGTCCGGGTTGCCACAGACTCAGCATAGTTTCATTTGATAATTAAGGTCATCCTGGTTGACAAAACGGACATCGGTTAAAGGTGTATTTGCTGACACTTGTCAGACATTTCAACATGGAGGATGTAATATTTGGCCGCTAGGTGTCGGGAGGAAACAAAGGGAGGTCACTCTAATGTTTGTCCCTGACGCACAGCCGCTAGAAATTGTTTTTGACCGGTTATTATATAAACAAATAAATAAGAAAAAAAAGAAATGGGACCGAGAATATTGTTTTTCCGAAAGCGAACATATAGATGTTGGTGATGTCATCACTAAAAGAGTAAAGTTATCAAGAATCTGAAATGGCGCATGTGTAATGCATCCACTATCCAATCAGTAGAAAGTACCACAGACACGTTTTCTTCGCAAAACTATGGACTGGTATTTGCAATGCAATACTTCAGAACTATGTATAATAATGGGAAATGCAACTGATATAGGTTAACTAAGGGTGTCACTTCTGCCAGCTAAACTTGCATCACGTAAAATGTTGTTTTGGTTTTTTTATATCTGTGCACACATTGTGAATTTTCTCCTAAAATATTTTGAGCTGACTTGATGTAACGTATTTTATTCAATCAAGGCCGATAACCTAGGAGTCATCACCATGGACAGTCTTATGCACCATGTATATATCACACGGTCTGTCAATAATAATCTGGAACTGAAAAAAACTTTTCAAAGGCTTGTGCTAGTGACTGTCGGGTTAGAGTAAGTCTGTTCCTACTGTGAGGTTGGCAGTGTGAAACTTGATTTGTTTACATGCGACAATGATAACTTACACTGTGGTATTAAAATGCTCCTGTAATCATTTTTATATAAAGAAAAGCATTCACCCAAGATGAAGACGAGAGAAAGAGAGAGAGAGAGAGAGAGAGAGAGAGAGAGAGAGAGAGAGAGAGAGAGAGAGAGAGAGAGAGAGAGAGAGAGAGAGAGAGAGAGAGAGAGAGAGAGAGACCATCCCTGTTTATCCTGAAAGTTTATTACATCACCATTGAAACTGTTGTGAAAAACGATTAACAATGAGCACTAGCACAAGCCTCTTTCTCAAGAGTGTGCACCCCCACCTTCTCAAAAAAGCTGTTTCCGTCCCTGTGGTGGTGATTATTTAAGGGGTGGGTGGGTTCGTTCTGGGGATGGGGATGTCATCAATTTTGTACACATGTACGGGTGGGGTGGGGTGGTTATGTTTAATATATTTAATATATTATAGGAAGGGGAGGGGGTGTCACTGAATTTGTATATCACATGCGGGGTGGGGGTGGTGGGGGATGATCTGTCACTTACTCTGTTCATACAATTTAGGGCGGGTCAATCACATTCACATAAATTATGAATGGTCCCTAAGTGAATATTAAACTGTGACAGTGCAAGTCTGAACAACAGCTGGTATGTGGTACTCGGCTACACGAGAATCTGATAACAGATGATGACGTCAGAGTAATGACTGCTGGGGTCTTCCCGTGACCTGGAACAGCCAACTGTAGGTTACTAAGAGTAGTGAGTCAGCAGGTTTGACGGACTCCTTCAACAGTGTCTATAGATTACAGCGTTTCAGCTGAATAATGGAAGTATTTTACAGGCGCGTAGCAAGCCAATGTTTTCATGTAAGCCCAATAGGTTGAAAGATTTATAGTTTGATAGTATTGAGGGCTTGCAAATCTTTTTAGAAGCAATCATAATGGTGGCTAGGCCCCTGGTATTTTACAATATTGACATATTTGACCAGAGTTTGTTTTTGTACATCATGTATGTTGTAACAGAAGTGTCATTTTTTTTGGTTAACAATTTGGGTTATGTAGTTCCTCTTACAACTGATCGGATTTCGTGTTTGACATAATAAAAACTGATTTACAAAAAATCGATTTAAAAAATGAAATGTTTTAACGTGATCAAATATGGTGTTCGGGGTTGAAAAATTAAAATGTGAAAAAAAATGTGTGCCAATTGGATCGTACGTTCAGTGGCAAGAGTTACTTCCCTTTGGATATGTGTCAAAACAGAATTCTTGATGTTTCACGAAGCCACTATGACCTAAAGTTAGGTCGGTCTGTCGGTGTAAAATAAAATAAAATTATTAAGAATTAAAATATCTTAATTCGTTCATATCTACTTTAGAAAAGAAGACAAAAACATCTGTAACTTTGATTCTCCTTTATGTTGGGTGTTTATTAGTTACAGACAAATCTGCATCTGAAAAGAAGAAAGACCTATTTTATTCTGTTTTCGTTGGTATTCAGTAAATGAAAAAACCGCACACGTACATATTCGTACAGCAAAATCATTTGGTGTAAAATTTGCTGATTTTGTACAACACAGACTGCGCCGAAAACAAAGGGAGTAGAGAATGATAAAGAACATCAACAGAGAACATCAACATAGATAATTGAATCCGATGTTATTGTCACAAAGTTAGAAACCTGTAATACACGATACTGTATTTATAAATAAAATGTAAAGACAGAAGAATGTCAATGCCTAGCTTAGCCTTCTTGAGGAGTTTCACTTGTGCTCTATCTACAGCCTTTATCCTTGCACTGACACAAGAAGGAAGCAAATGAATGAGCAGACGGTAGGGCCTGTACCGGGAGAAATAAGAAAATAACCTTTTTAACTTTCGGGCGATGAGAAGCACAGAAAGAAATGTTGTTCTTAGCATATCCGTCAGGAAGATAAAACGAGAATGTTCTCAACAGTTAAATATATTCCACTATTCAATAATGTTTACTCGGTAGTTCCGAAAACATTAATACACTGATCACACCTAAATAGCAGATAAGCAGACACCAGCTTGGTGACGATACTTAAGTGACTGGCAGTTTTTCGTTGTTCATCACTAAGTACCTTATTTTGGAAAAAGTTGTCATTAATAAAAACCCTAATTGTGTTACCGTTAAACAAAGATAGCTTCTGTTATGATAACTTGCTGATCCGGATACCTGACCCGTTATATAGATTCATTTGTACGTTTATGTTTAAAATGACAAACCAAATGTGCCAGCAAAATACGAGCATACGATGGGGTGCGCTTGCATTCAGCTTCATGTTTGGTGCACCTGGTCAAGATACCGGCTCCTATCTCGTTACAATCATATCTTTACTTCTTGACGATTATACCTCACTCTTCCTTGACAGCTTGCGTAACAGATGGGAGGTAACTCTGCAACAAACAGAGATGTCTTCAAGTGCGTTATTACATTACCACGCTATCGCCACACTTCCTTCCCTGTTGCTTATCGACCTTTATGAATGAAGGTAAAATTATTAACGAAAGTCATGTTTGTCACATATCAGTATTGATTTGCTGCATGCTTGGATATACTGAACAGCCAAATGAATTCGAGCACGCATAAAAAACCCATGGCATATTGATTTGTTGGGATTAATTATGACTTATGGCGTTTAGTCAATATTGCAAACAACACACTGACTTCAATCTGCTTAAAAACTTGACAAGTAAGTAAACACCATGACAATTTTTATAGGGTGCGTTCTTGGGATGTAATAAAGTTTCATCAGTATAGTCACATGGTTGCGGTCTTGCAATATTCCAGTTATATCGCGGTTTCATATACTGATCCCATGTTTAGAATCGAACCCAGACCTTCGGCATGACGAGCGGACGATACAGCCACTAGACTACTCCACTGAATTTGTTTTGTAATAAAATGGTATGTTATCAGATGAACCATTAAATAGAAACAAAACATGTCCGATATCAGTCATGATTTTCAATACCGGAGCTCCGAACAACTCATGAATAAATGACACAAGTCCAAAACGGTGCATAAGATAAAATGATGAAGTTAAAATGATATTCTAAGTACGTGGTTATCGAGTGAACGCAAGCCTGTCAGTAGAGTGTAATAAAACGTCATCTTTATTAACGTTTAAGAGTTATTATCTCGCCCCCACCCCCACCGCCCCACCCCCTTCCAGGTCGCCATTCAACAGTTCAAGATTATTGATCGTCTATATACAGGCTCACTGAGAATTAAGATAACACACCGCCTTTTATAGCCTGTTAAATACCCACATACAGCATCTCGGTCCGTCAAGGTGTGGGGTCACCGTGAGAGCTCCGTCGCTGGAGACAGCTGCCAAGTTGTTTCACCCCGGAGAAGGTCGAACTGTGATGATGGCGACATTGTGGCTCTTTTGAAAATGGAAAAATCTTCAAATATTTCAGGTAATATTATATTTTGTATCTGTTGTCAGCTGTTGTCAGCACCAAGGTGAGACATTCAGACATGGAGTTATCCCCAGAACGTTGTCTGCCTGTGAGCTCTATGGTAGCTCCTCCTGGGAGCATGTAAGGGTACCCAATCATTTTGTTAAGAAAACTTTTTTCAGCGACTGAATTATTCAATGATGTGATGATTATAGAATTTTGATGACACTGATAGATAGATAGATAGATAGATAGATAGATAGATAGATAGATATACTTTATTTCCTCCATTTCACATGAAGATAAATGCAAGGTTATGCAAGATATATGTTATTTCAACTTTTTAATGAAAATTAAAACAAACTAATCTTATTTCTCCTACCACAACTACCAAGCACATATCCCTTTAACGAAATCTGAAGAAATGCAATAGTCTCAGGATAAGTTCACAAACCCCTTTTATCTTTTTTATCTGCTCATTGCCTGATTCCCACGGGAAGATCATGATTAGGTCATTCGTTATGCACATCGATCAGTTGTTCCGCGCAATGCAATGAATAGATGTGCGATTACCTCACCCTGGACACATCACAGTAGCTGGAACGGACTGGTGACAGCAAGAAGGCCTGTCTTCGTTATCGACAGTAGAGATCTCATCTTCTTCAGCCACACTCGGATATCTCTGGATCTGATTGGGTGTATGAGGGCACTGATCAACATGGAGAGTATTGTGAACCGCACATGCCGGAACGCAAGCTTCACGAGGATCGCAAACATATCCCTTGCCTAGGTGGGCGTGGTCTGTCGCCGATCGCAGTGTGTTCGATTCGTGGTATTGCGAGAAGGCTTCGTAGAGTTTGTCCCACGTTGATCAGTTATACTACTCAAAAGAAGTTACAACACAGTCGGTTTGTTTAAACATGACTAGTTAATATGTCCTGGGCGCTCTTTAACTTATTTGGGTAGTATGTGTATGGCATATGTTTTATTATAGTATTGACACATAAAACTTTCTTGGTACTCCTATTGCGTACAAGTACCCCTTACAACAACTTACTACTAATCTTTTTCTGGGTATTCTGAGATTTCAAGTATTTAAAAGCGAAAATTATTCATTTATCAATGGGGTTTGCACCAGTCTTTTCCTTTCTTTGAGGGTGGAGTTTATCCCTCTGGTTGTTTTGGTTTTAATACCATGTACTTTTTCAGGGAGAGAGGTTTCGCGAGAATCTAGACATGCCGTAGAAAACCAAACGGTGTTTGAGAATCCCATGATGTCAAGTAAGTTTCCGATACACTTGTGATCAAAGTAAAACGTGCAGTAACCTACAATCCGAGCGTTGGGTTTACACCGGTTTTAGCCGACAATACAGCTTTTGACGATATATACAGACCAAACAGACTTCTAAATATAAATTCATTTGGAGAATAAAATTTGGGTTTTGGTATGACGAGCAAATGTTTCCCTGGTTACAACAAGCAAACACCATTTCTACAAGGCTACACTAACTTTTCCGAGGGTGATGTTAAGTTCATAACTCTTGAACATAAACTAGTAGTTTTCAAGGAGAGCTCCTACATTGATGTACACGGTGGCGGTTGGTGGTTAAAGTTTGAATTTTGCAAGCCGAAGACCCTGGTTCGAATCCCCACATGGGTAAAATGTGTGAAGCCCATTTCTGGTGTCCCCCGCCGTGATGTTGCTGGAATATTGCTAAAAGCGGCGTAAAACCAAACTCAGTCAGTCAGTCCTACATTGATGTACACTTTCGGCGGTTGGAGCTGCGTTTTGATTTTTGCAAGTGCATCTGGTTGTTTGTTGTTTTACGCCGCACACAGCAATAATCCAGCTAAATTCGAATGGTGATAATCGATTGACCTAACAATCATGTGATCAACATAATGAGAGTCGATCTACACAGTTGGCATACGATGACATGCATCAACCAAGTCGGCGAGCCTTACCGCCTGATCCAGTCAGTGGCCTTTACGATATACATGGTTTGCTGATGACCATTTCTAACCCGATCGTGTCTCGTATGCTGTTCACATTACTTACATGCATAGATATAATTATTGAAATTTATATCTGTTTCCATTATTTTCAGAAATACTGCAAGTTGTTCTAGGAGTGTCGTCTGCTCTCGGCCTGGCCTTCCTCATCATGACGTGTTTGTTTTGCATCTATGTCATACGAAGATACTTAAAGAAAAAGCAAAAGCTGCATGACGTCCCGGAAATTATTGAACTTCCTGACCCCTTCATAGCAAGTACAGTGAAAGAACAAATGTTGGGGTCGGATGAACCGGAAGTGAACACGTACAGCTGCCTTGACCTTGTCAGTCAGAAGCCCCAAATTGACCACTGGTCAGGACTGTCAGTGGCGGGTGACGCCAGTCAAGAACTGACACACGTAAGAAGTTGGGATGATATTCCCAGCTGCTCAGATGACGCCAGCATCGGGGCGTCGAGATGGCAATGTCGGTCCCAATCTCTAGCAAGCCTCAACCTTGGTTTGGAAACTTTCAATACCACGCTACATTTCAGTGCTGAATATGTCAAGGAAAGGTCGACGTTGACGGTTGTCCTTCAACTAGTGTCGTCTTTGCCTTTCAAGTACAGAGGTAGGGCAGTGTACGCTGTAGCTCACCTGTATCCATACCGCACAGAGGGCGTGGAAAGTAAACTCATTGTTTCTACAGAGGAGAGCGCGGAGTTTCAAGAAACATTCAAGTTTAGGGATGTTTCCATCGAAGTTCTTGAAAAATCAACACTCAAAATTACTTTGTACTCGAAGAAGCTGAAAAAGTCTAGCAAAGACGCCTTTGTTGGGCAAGTGTATTTGAAAGGAAGTGACGTGACCTGGACCCCGCAACGGTTGATGCAGTTCGACATGAAGATAGAGCGGAAACAACTGAAGAGGGTAAGTAGCACAACTACAAACAATTAATCCAAGCAAGAGGCTTAAGTAGGCTAGTGGTTAATGCGGTCGCTGGACACGCCATAATCCCGGGTTCGACCCCCTCCCGCACTTTAACCATCACCTTAACCACCATGAAGGTACACTTTGTGAAGCCCATCTGTTGCGTCCCCAGCCGTCATATAGCTGGAATAGGATAAATGTGGCGTTAACACAAGGCAGTGTAAGACCAACTAGAGAGGATACTGTGGCTACAATTGTTGCTCATGAATGCTATTATCCACGTATTTCGGATGGTCCCGATGTGACAATCATTTATTTCTTTACAGGCCACCGCAATATAGCTTGATCACTGCTACTGAGTACAGCGTAACACATTATGCAATCAGTCTCATGCCTTTCGAAGTGACATACGTAACAATTAAACTGAAGTCATATTAAAGGTCTGTACAATGTATAGGTTGACCAATGCATTACAAAATTACAAAATCGTTATTACATAAAATGGGTACAGCGGTTAGTCACATAGGGCAAGGGCTTAGAAATATATATTGCATAGGTTATCTTACTTATGAACACTCAACAAACCCAGGCGTTTCGTCTTATCGGGGTCGTTGAGACCTGAGAGACTATGTACCGAGGAGTCTTAATAAAATCTATCTCTACGTTTTAGTTACACTGAAGTCTAACATTCCAGCGTTTATAACGATATCCCGCCTGGCGACACAGGTATTTAATTAAACAGGCTGAACTTGGGGTAAGTTAATGAATCGCTACAGCAGGAAACGTACACATGGAATTATTTCGGGACTTTTGCACAGTCAGGTCAAAGGTTGAAGGCGGTTTTACTGCTTTAGTCTGAGATCACTCAACTAAAAACCCAAACAAACCGCGACGTTAAGATGTAAATTAAATGTATGAAAACCTACTTTGCGAACAATCCCAACTCTAATAGGTTAGTAAACTTAGTCTGAAAATATTTTTAGTTGCACCATTGGAGTTGTTAAATGCGTGTTTCCCAGGCAACGGCTAAATAAGACAGGGCGCCCCACAAAGGTAGTATTCATAACATTTAGATGCAGTCATTAGGCAAACATTTTATTACCAATGGAAAATCTGCACTCAATTTCACTTATCCATTCAGCTGCGAGGATTAACAGTTCTGCTTGATACATCTGTTATATATTTCACTACCTGGAATGTTGCCTATAAAGGAATGACATTTATAGCTACTTTAGAGAACAATTCTGACAACACGTGCGTTCATGAATCACGATCAAATGGGTGATGATGTCAGGCTGCTCCCTTCATGTACACATTCCGTGCAGCTCAGTGGTTCACCTACTGTACACATACACATGCAGTGGTTCGCCTACCTTTCACATGCAGTGATTCACCTACTCTTCACATGCAGTTGTTCACCTACCCTTCACATGCAGTGGTTCAACTACCCTACACAAATACATGCAGTGGTTCACCTACCCTTCACATGCAGTGGTTCACCTACCCTACACAAACACATGCAGTGGTTCACCTACCCTACACATGAAGTGGTTCACCTACCCTACACAAACACATGCAGTGGATCACCTACCCTTCACATGCAGTGGATCACCTACCCTTCACATGCAGTGGTTCACCTACACTTCACATGCAGTGGTTCACCTATCTTACATAAACACATGCAGTGGTTCACCCACCGTACACATACACATGCAGTGGATCACCTACCCTACACATGCAGTGGTCACCTACCCTACACATGCAGTGGTTCACCTACCCTACACAAACACATGCAGTGGATCACCTACCCTACACAAACACATGCAGTGGATCACCTACCCTTCACATGCAGTGGTTCACCTACCCTTCACATGCAGTGGTTCACCTACCCTTCACATGCAGTGGTTCACTTACCCTACACAAACACATGCAGTGGTTCACCTACCCTTCACATGCAGTGGTTCACCGACCCCTCACATTCAGTGGTTCACCTACCCTTCACAAGCAGTGGTTCACCTACCCTACACAAACACATGCAGTGGTTCACCTACCCTTCACATGCAGTGGTTCACCTACTCTACACAAACACATGCAGTGGATCACCTACCCTTCACATGCAGTGGTTCACATACCCTTCACATGCAGTGGTTCAACTATCCTACACAAACACATGCAGTGGTTCACCTACCCTACACATGCAGTGGTTCACCTACCCTTCACATGCAGTGGTTCACCTACCCTACATATGCAGTGGATCAACTACCCTACACAAACACATGCAGTGGTCCACCTACCCTTCACATGCAGTGGTTCACCTACCGTTCACATGCAGTGGTTCACCTACCCTTCACATGCAGTGGATCACCTACCCTACACAAACACATGCAGTGGTCCACCTACCCTTCACATGCAGTGGTTCACCTACCCTACACATGCAGTGGTTCACCTACCCTACACAAACACATGCAGTGGTCCACCTACCCTTCACATGCAGTGGTTCTCCTACCCTACATATGCAGTGGTTCACCTACCCTACACAAACACATACAGTAGTTCACCTACCCTTCACATGCAGCGGTTAACCCACCGTACACATACACATGCAGTTGTTAACCTACCCTACACCAACACATGCAGTTGTTCACCTACCCTACACAAACACATGCAGTTGTTCACCTACCCTACACAAACACATGCAGTTGTTCACCTACCCTATACACGCACATGTTCTCAATCAGGAGTATGGGTCAGGGTAGCTTGCAAGTACCCTCTGCCGACAAATAAACATAGGATTCTTAATGGATTTGTGTGTCTTGGTCGTCTTATATGTTAATGGATTTGTATATCGTGGTCGTCTTTTTATGCTGACAGTCTATGGTTCACTTGGTTGTCACCATGTTTAATTCGTTGCAGCAATCCACGTCGGAGAAGTACTTGTTCGAGAATATGGGGGAGTTGTTTGTGCTGCTGCAGTACCAGCAGCTGGCCAACCGCATCAAGGTCCTTGTCCGCAAAGCCAGCAACCTGCCTCATTCTGACAAACTTCTGGGGCACCCAGGTGAGAAGTCAAACTCGTGGTCTGTGCTCGGGGAGCCTGGCTATACAGTCACAGTAATATTACAATATTGCACAGAACATGTTTAATGAAAGATTTAAATATTTCAAGTGAAAGCAGAGGAAAACTGTTTTACACCAGTTTCTCGGAATTATATTTCTCTTGAAAGGAAGCCTGGATCCGCCTCTGATTAAGACGTCATATTTAACCATAGGCATGTATGTTATTTGATCTGTTCGGTTGATCTACAACATGTGGGCAGGTATAATCTACAACACGTCTTCCGTTCTCCCTGATGTGGGTTTGGTACGATATGAATAACACGCTTTTGGCGAAGTGAGTGAGTTTGTATACTGGTTGAGGGAGGAGGAAAATTTAAGTTGTCGCCAACACATAACTGACTTTTACGATTCTTGGATTCAAACCAGTGAATTATAGTTTGGTTTGTCTGTTTCAGCGCATTACGTCATAGTCAACCTGCGGAAGGACGACACTGTCATCGACCACAGAGAGACCTCCACACAGACCGGATACTCCCCAATATGGAACCAGCCCTTCCTGTTTGACACGCCTAGAAGTGAAATTACCGATCTATCCATAGAGTTTGTCATTATGAGAGGAAGGCGATACAAAGATGGCGTAGTTGGTCACGTGACAATAGGCCCGGAAATGTCGGGCACTGGGCTCAGTCATTGGGAAGAAATCATGAAACCTCATGGGAAGGAAATCGACAGGTGGCATAACTTGATGCCTGTTTTCAAATTTCAGTAGTTGGGTTGCAGTAACCGAGGCACTGTTTCCACTGTTAAAGAATCACTTCATTTCTAATGCAATACTGTACAGTACATCCTCGATAATCTCCCGGGTATACGTTACGATATCTCTCCACTATACCCTGGATACATCTACGGCCCAATGAATTTATTACCTCCCTTTGCTGGCTCCGCATTCTCACAGTAGCCAATCAAATAAGCCGCCGTTTTAACAGAGCTTTTCCAGTGTCAACAAAAGTAGCGGTCGCAGCCGCAAAAGTTTGTTCGCAGTGCGACTCAGATTTGGGGGGAAACCATACAGACAAATTGACAGGTCTGAAACCTTAAAAACATATTTGCAAGAACTCCTTCTTTCAGAGTATCTGCAACAATATATTATTGTGTTGACAAGTTTAATCGGTTAGATATCGGTTACCAGTTGTGAATGGTACGCTCAACTTCCCAGCGTAGACACCTGATTGGATAAAGAGCCAACCAAGGGAGGTAATATAATCATGGGGCCGAGCCGTAGATGCATCCAGGGTATAGTGGAGAAATTATCGTAACGTATACCCTGGAGATTATCGAGGATGTGTACAGTACAGAAACTGGGACTCACGGTTGAAAAGATAAACAGAAAATGTATTTATGGCTATTGCTGATATATATCGTAAGCTGTTACACACAAGTGGTGTGAAATAAATCCACTTTTTCGCAAATTACCATGTCTTCTTTTTACAAGTGTTCGGAAAGAGGACCGTTCTCTACCACCCCGTCACGTATTTCAAGCTCCCCGACCACACCGTGAGCTGTCAAGTCATCTCATGCCCTACAGCTCCTAGGGTGGATCTGTATCATAGATCAACCTGTAACATAATCCTTACTGTGGGTTCGAATCCCAGATTCACCCCAAGTTGATTTTGGTGTGTCAACAACGCATTCAGCTAAGTTGTAAAAGTCTGGAGCATGCTTGCTTTCATATCTAGTTGAGTTTAACAGATTTGGTCAATTAAAATGGAAGAAATCGAAATTATAACTAGGTGGAACAATTTACCATTTAATTTGTACAACAGTACGCGCAGTTTGTACAAGTCTACCGGTGATTTCGTTAAAAAGTACCCAATAATATACACGTAACATGACCCCTCCTCCCAAAATAATGTACAGAGAAATAGACTTATGTCTTCACGGTATCATTTATTCATTCTCCACCTCAGATCCCTAACCTCCTCAACGAACGGTCTTGTGCCTCACAAAATCAGTCATTATTCAGTAATGACCCGTGAACACCATTAACATGGTCATGTGAGATAAAGGGAAAGATTTTATGTGCGAACACCTTAGTTTCCTTTCGCTCAGTGTCTTGAACAGCAACAGTTATTGGAGGTTTCGTGTTCTTTTTATCTTTGAATGGAAAAAACGTTAGTTTTCCGTTGATGTTTTTTTTCCATTCTATTTAATAAAAAGAGCATGTTCCTAAGTTCTTTCTCAGTTTGTTATTTCTTGAAGGAAGTAAAGTCGAGACCTGTTTACACGGACTCCGTATATAGTTTTGAAGTTATGAACAAAGTATGAATAACACCTTTAAACTGATAATGTGTATATCTTAAAGGTTAGCGTTGTTCGTTGTTTTACAGCAATATTATTGATATCACAAAATGAAATAGTACTAAGTAGTTTTTTGGGAAAGGTTTTAATTTGTCTGGATATATTGATCTAAATGACAAAAATACTGTAACGTCTTGCATAGACTTTCTGAAAAGAATTCTCTTTATGACCTTTGAGTTTACTTTATGCTATTTAACTGTATGAATCAGCTATGAATTAACTATCGTATTTCTAACTTAAAGGTCACATGCAACGTAAAACACCACTTTGCAGATTCTGATACCTTTCGGTATGGACTTACAGATACAAATCATCAAAAATGCAAATTCATCTTATAACGTTGAAAAAATACGCGATGAAAATAACCCCACGAAATCGGAGTTCAAACGATTCACTAAATTCACCCCAGCGCTTGGGGTTAAAAGTGGTTCAACAGCTGTGCTGTGCTGCGCTGAGCTGGGCTGCGCTCATAGCGCATGCGCAGTGAAATAGGTTCGCGCAGCCTGGAAGCGGGATTATAAGGTAGTGAACAGGAGTAGTTTAATCAAAACAAATAGTAAATAATCTAGTCATTACATAAAAGAACCTTGTTAGGATCCAGATCTACTCAGCTATGTGTCAACCAGTGAGACGTTCGACATTTCAAGACGGAAAACCTTCGCTGGCGGTGAATACTCGGTGAAGGCTTTGATGTGAGCTTTTATTCTAATGTTTTGTTGATATTTCACAGGCGCGAGCTTTTTATATGTTATGACAGTAGATTACCGATTTAACTGTTTATATAATTTCATTTCACCACACGTTCTTCTTACCGAGTCACTTTCTCAGTTCGATACTTAAAAGCAATGTCATTATTTAGCATTGACAGAATTTCTAACTGTGATATAGATATGTCGTTATCACAGATAAAACTCAATGTCTGTTTTATTGACACCCATATAGTGTCTGCCTGCCTGTCTGCTAATGACAATAATCAATACACAACTTCGATCACTGACCACATGCAATTTGAACTTTACACCTATCAGGCTATACACCATGAACAAAACGCATTGATTTACGGCCCAAGTTCGGTCTCTGTCACATTATGTAATTGCACAGACAGGCAGGTGTGATACTTGTCCACATGACATGTTATGATGTCTGTTGATTGCAAAATGTTATACACAAAAGTGAGCATGTATTGACAAAACACAACATCTATATATACATTATACACTAACACAGAATGAGCCGTCAGGGCAACTGCAAATGAACCAGCCAATGAAAGGCTTCGTTACAATTGAGTGCACACCCGACCGCTCTGACTGGGTTCGGTATCCCGGGTGCTTCGTTTCGAGGGAAGAAAACCCAAGTACAAAATATTGCACTTTTCATTTGCGATTGTACGCTTATATTTTTGTTTATATGTTTTTTCATAATCAGCAATGTATATTATATGTCATGAATAAGTGATCATTGTGTTTTAATAATGTTTGATTTTTTGGTTGCATGTGACCTTTAACTTATAAGCGGCGTAAAACCCAACTAACTCACTCACTCACTGTAACTTAACTGAGGGGCAAAAGAGACGGCACCCCTCACTTGATGTTATCGCATTGTCAAATGAAAGTATCTTAAGTCAGCAATATTATATACTCGTGGCAATTAGTTTAGCAACACCCCGTATAGACATTTTTGTTCACATGATAATTATGTTTGCTTGTGTGACACTGATTTTAGATATGCACATACCATACGAGTATCCGTTATTATGTAAATGCCAAACATCAGAAAACTAATTACATTCAGGACGGTGAGCGTTCAGGTTGGACTGAAACAGCTGTCCTCAGAATCACAAGGCTTCATCCGTTCATGTCAAGCAGCGTGTTACAATCAGAGTGGCTTCTAACAGAATGGGGGGCGGTGGGGTAGCCTAGTGGTTAAAGCGTTGACTCGTCACGCCGAAGACCCGGGTTCGAATCCCCACATGGGTACAATGTGTGAAGCCCATTTCCTGTGTCCCCCGTCGCGATGTTGCTGGAATATTGCTAAAAGCGGCGTAAAACCAAACTCAGTCAGTCAGTCCAACAGAATGGTCCGAAATCGCCTAAAAAATCTGCCGGTTGTGGACGGACAGATGGATGAATGGGTAAATGAATAAAATTGCTAGAGATTTACATGCGAAGATCATGCAGTATATATAATGAAAGAATGTAATGTGATATATTTTTCTTTAATAAATAGTTTACAATGTACAATTTGTGAAGAGAAAGGAGTGTGTATCTAGCAGATATACACAAGATGCTACTTTATATTCCAAACAAAGTGACAAAATGACAGTATGACGTATTCCCAAGCATCATCATCACGTTTGTCAGTGAAGTCTTGGATATCTGCGCCGAGAAACAATGACAACATGTCACCGTCGTCAAACATGAAAGAGTACAAGAAGAAGAAGAAGAAGAAGAAGAAGAAGAAGAAGAAGAAGAAGAAGAAGAAGAAGCTACAGTTCATGCTGTTCAGATTTTTCACCGGCTTCCCCGTCTTTAACTGTTGCATCGATTCTCTGCTTGCCGCCGGTCGTCACGTACCAGGCCTTCACGTCACTAAGTGTCTGAGGGAGCTCTTTTCCTTTGGTCTCCGGGAGGACAATGACCATGGCGGTAGCCGCCAGACAGCAACACGTTAACACGGCTCCTGGGGCCCAGGTCACATACTCGCTCTACAACATAAACCAGCAACAGGTGAATAATGTTAACAAATGAGGTTTAGAAGTATGGCAGATATATGTTACTTCGTTGCCACCAAGGGAGAATGGCTGACCCATTGGTCTTATGTGAAACCTGTGATCGACGTTGTTTCTTGGTTTGTCAACATCAGACCTGTGGTCGTGGTAACGTTTAAGACCTGCATCGTTGTCTTCCCTCATCAAGGTGACAATCTGTGTTATCAATGAAATACTGTATTGTAGCATTTCAACATCGAGTTAAACATACTGGTTCGGCTATCATGGAACAGGGAAGGCTCTACTTACCAGTAGTCCGGCAAATGGTCCTAACATCCCACCAAATCTTGAAAAGGCGGAGGACGTCCCTAAACCAACGTTCCTGATAAACATAATGTAAAGAAATAAAGCCACACAACATGTCATTTCTAACTGTGATAAAGCACAATTAGCTGCGGTTACCGTATCTCCTCATCACTAAGTATATCATGGGAAGATCTATAGCCTAACGAGTGGCATAGAGAATATCTGATATGAATTCAAGATCTAAAACAGAAACGGGTGGTGTTTCGACGTTTTTCCAAACCCTTTAAAACCTGTTTTCGATCTGAAATCTTTATTCAGAGTTAACTTTCGATGGATTAATCATGTATTGTTTTAATAAAGTGTTAAAGATTTATCGGAGATGTAGAAGAGGCCTATTGATCCGCCAGGATTATTACTGGACGGTCAGTAGCCCAGCAGTGACTGTAGACAAAGTACACTAAACTAGGACCAGACGAGGCAGTGAATGCATTTACTCATATAGTGTATGCATACTGTGTACATACAGTGTATCAGTCTTGAAGAAAATGTTTTCTGAAATGCAATTTTATGTAAAGGTACGGGGTCTGTAGGAGGGATAGTACCTGATATTGGTTGGAAATATTTCTGGTGTGTAGAAGAAAAGTGCACCAAACGCTCCAAATATTCCGAAGAAGCCAAAACAAGAAAAGGCAGTTGATATGATTGCCCCTGTTCCGGTGTTTCCTGTAAGGGCATGATACATAGTAACATCAGTTGTTCTGTTTGAACACAAAAGGAGAACAAATGGGCAGCCTGAAGTATCACGTCGCCATGACAACGTGTATACTGAAAGACGTGGAAGTGGAGTTTGACTCTGAGGGACAACAAGTTACTGGAACCTAATGTCCAGGCATGGCAACGTGAAGAAGGATTCAAACTCAGACAACAGGTTTTAGTGTTACAGGCCTTCAGCCCTAACAATCACAGTGTCTTTTTTGTCTGTTCTCTTAACGTAATTCACCTGATTCCATTCATATCAATTCTTCATCGCGTGCAAATGTATATTTAAATGAATGAGAAATGTATTTCGATCGACACTGTGGAAAAAAAGCAACGAGCACGTGTTCGAATTATCATATGTGGGTCGATTGGAAATCGTAGCGGCTGGAGGTGCACTTACCCATGAGTTCCCGGACAATTGTAGCACCGACCAATCCAAACCCAGTGATAAGGTGTAGAAAGATGCATGTCTTCTTCCGACCAACACTGATTAACAGTATCACCAAAGTCAAAACAAAAATAAAGTCATTACTTCATGACAACTCTTCAGCAGCTTTACAAATTGAAAATTGACATTTCTTCAGGAAAATGTTTATACTCTTTTCGCGAACATATGGTGTTGTCACAGAACTGAGTGACCAATGTATGTTTCTTTCTCTGTTTTGCACTGCGTGCAACGCAGAATCTGTCTCGGCAGATAGTCGAGACTGTGTATTGTGTGGCGTTGGTATTTTATATTTAGCACATGCAATGATGCGTTGCAGGGCGTGGATGGCTTAGATTAAGCAAATTATTCACTTATCCCAGGCTTGCAACAGCTCGAAACGCTTGTCCACTCCTTCAAAATGGCGGTTACCTGGCCCTCATGAAGTAAGTAATAGAACAGTCTCGACGACGGGCTGATGAATTTACGATTATTTGTGACTGCAATGAAGATGTGGAACAAACTGAGGATGCTGGGAATTAAGCTGTCTTTGCGTTTTTCCCAGTTGATCCAGTGAACAATTTCAGTGTTCAGCTGTCGCCATTTTTGTTTGGGACCGAAGCGACCTCAGACGGCAATTTATGCAATTGCAAGCGGCTGAAAGTTGGCATTCTGTTGTAAGGTGAATCTCTGTAAATCGCTTGCACCCTTACTTTTGAAATGTGGTCGTTATCGTTGTTATAAAACCAAAGCAAATTATTACCTGTCGACAAGGTAGTAGATGGCGACACTGGAGGGCATCTGCACCACTATCAGCAGAACTACATTCACAAACCTATCTCCAGCCAAGGCATCTGATGTGAAGTACAGTCCAAAATATGTCATACTGTCGGTGAACCTGAATACATAGCACAATAAATCATTTGATATAGGTGCGGTGGGGTAAGCGAAATGTTTGTCTGTCACGCTGAAGGCCCAGGTTCGATCCTTAGCATGGGTACAGTGGGTGACATAAATTCATGATATTGCTCGTAAAATCTTCTATCTTTACTTCTAAAATCGCACACTGTCAGAAAGATATAAGAAATTTTTAAACTTTTTTGTTTCTATGTTCCCACCAGACAACTGGTTTGATTTGTTAGAAGCGCTATAGCATTAAAGCACATATTACCATATAAACCAGAGGACAGCCACATTCAAACCCAGTCGTTTGTCTTTGATGAAGTCAAGAAGGGAGTGTGTTTCATCGTCAACTGTCTGCACCACAGGCTCAGTGAGCAGAGCGGCAGTTTGTTCCTTTGATATGGTCCCTTCTTGTTCTTTCTTGGAGTCGAGCTGTTCATGACCCGTGTGAAGACTTTCATACACATCCAAGACATGCTGGTAGTCCACGCGGCTGATCCTCGCTGCTTTCTTCAAGAGTTTCTTGATTTGTTTAGGGTTGCCGTTCGCCACCAACCATCGTAGAGACTCCTCAAGGAAACTATATTGAACGTAATATATAACAACCACATCATTCCCAGCCAGCATATTGCAATTCTACGTTTATACCACTTTTAAAGTAAAACGCGAATTCCGTTCTATTGGTCTTTCAACCACTCAAAGTACTACTTCCAAGCTACCTTCATACAAACAAGGTCAAATACTTCTATACAAAGTATATTCAAATTCATATCTCAAATGGTCGGTATATCACTGACGAAATATGATCGTATAGATGCACTTTTCGTAGTATATGAGAACCTATTTTATCGTAAACAACGAATGCTCATAAGACACAATTTCAAGTACTTTGTTTCTGTGGAGGTTTCCTTTCACTGATATTCAGTGATCCATTCGTATAATGGCTACCGCCATTTAGCCTGTTAGACCCAATGGAATCAGTTTCGGAGGATATTCTAGACTAAGTGAGTGAGTAAGTTTAATTCTACGCCGCACTCAGCAATATTCCAGCTATATGGCGGCGGTCTGTAAATAATCGAATCTGGACCAGACAATCCAGTGATCAACAGCACGAGCATCGATCTACACAATTGGGATACGATGACATGTGTCAACCAAGTCAGCAAGCCTGACCACCCGATCCCGTTAGTCGCCTCTTACGACATGCATGGGTTACTGAAGATCAAGTCTAATCCCGATCTTCACGGGTCTCGAGACTAAGTATTCTCAGACGTTGACTGTTTGTATTTACAAGAACTGTAGAATGATGACTGCGGACACGGAACAGCATCCGAGTTGCAGGATCCTCCAGGAGTAGTCCCGGAGGAGGTAGGCCACCAGGGGCAGGAACAGGTGACATGTGCACCAGCCAATGTTGGACAGGAAGGCCACCAGCTTTCGGTATCTTGTTGGGAATACCTCGATTCCAATGGTAGCATCTGTCAGAACTATTCCCTAAAATGCATATATCAGCACTCAGTATGTGGATGATGATTGGGGTATTTGGTTTGTATTGTGTACGGTTACTAGGCTACGTCTGAAAATGTATCTTTGAAAGAGCCATATGCAGCAATGTATTGTTTTTATCGTACAGTTTTTTAAACAGAGTATATAAACAAACATAGCTAAGTGGCACAATATTGAAATGGAGGCGCCCCTGTTGTGTTGCTATATTTCACCTGTTGGAACAGCCCCAGAATCAGCCTGATCACGAGGAACGCTGTGAAGTTCGGGGAGAACGCTACCCCGACACCCAAGGCCAGGACAATCATGTGGGAAATGAGATGGACAGGGCGCCGACCGAAACGGTCAGAGAATATTGGGAGGACAGCTGCACCGACTCCTTGACCGACAATCAGCAAGGTTTGTCCAAGGCCTTTGAGAGGAGCTTGGTCACACACTATTTCCATCTGTGAATAGAGCATAATATCCGGTGTTACACAGTTTCAGCATCTCTCCAATGTTAGTTACAATGGTTCTACCGTGAGGGTGAGTGAGGGAAGGAAGGAGGGTGGGTGGGAAGGGTATGCGCTATATATTTGGAACTTCAACGACAACGCTGTCGTACCTCCCATGTATATGTTCGGAGTTGATATCAAATATACAGTAAGCCACGGTTGTACCGAACTCGTAGGATCACTAATTTAGTTCGTTATAACCGTAGATATACGCATTGTGACTGAAATATAATGCAAGAGGCCCTGGTCCCTATATGCGTTAGTTCGTTATAACCGTAGATATACGCATTGTGACTGAAATATAATGCAAGAGGCCCTGGTCCCTATAGGCGTTAGTTCGTTATAACCGTAGATATACGCATTGTGACTGAAAGATAATGCAAGAGGCCCTGGTCCCTATAGGCGTTAGTTCGTTATAACCGTAGATATACGCATTGTGACTGAAATATAATGCAAGAGGCCCTGGTCCCTGTATGCGTTAGTTCGTTGTAAAGGTGTTCGTTACAAACGTAGCTTTAAGTACTTTACCGCAAAGGAAAAGCTAAACGTTGTAAAAAAATTGCGGATCGTTAAATTAATGAAACAGAATTAATTATGATACTTAATTAGTTATTCGCCGATGTGTCCAGCCCGTTCACTACCGCCGATCATGTTTTTATATAACGCAGCGGAAGGGAATCATGGCAGTATAAATAGATGGTTTTTTTCACAACTAACTGTAACGGTTATCGCCATTTAGAATGTCTCATGCCATTCGTGAAATAGTATATATACTCATGCCAATAATGGTTGTCACACCCCTCCCCATCCCAACCCCCACACTCTCACCCCACACCTCTCCAATTACAAAATTGAAGGAGGTGACAACCATTATTGACATGAGTATATTTATATCATACAGTAACCTCGAATAATTGATTGTGTGACTATTTGAGTATTACTTTTACATTAAATTGATAGGGAATGAAACAATTAATGACTTGTGAACTTGAACTTGCTATTATATAGGTCGTGGGACATCCCCCCCCGACTAAGTTGATTTTTTTAATAAGGTTCATAACTTTATCTTTCATTTTTCTTTCATGTAACTTGCCGTGAAGAATTTTCTTTTGCTGTCTAGTATTGTTGTCAAATACCGTAGGAAAAAATACCGGAATTGTAATTGGCCGGAACTGCGCACGTGTGATACTGCTGTATTGGCGATAACTGCTACGCGGCGATAACTGGTCGCTAGCCAGTATACCGAGGAACAATTTGGTTCATTTAGTTATGATTGATATACTAAAACAATATGTTTAAAGTTATGGAATAGTCAAAAGAACATGAACATGTACACATTTTACACAGGGTAGCAGGGGAATGTACAGCATCCTAATACTCACATCTGATATGATGGACAGCTCCTTCCTCTCGTGGAAACTGTACCCGTACAGGCATGGCAGCTGTTTCGTCTCGGTGTCGCCACTGATGTTGGCCACGACTCTGATGCTGCACTTGTCGTAGAAGATGTCGCTGTTATTTATATTGAATGCGTCATCGTCAATTGCGGTGAAAATGTCAGATATGTTACCTGGTTGACCACAAGTGTGGGGGATATTTCTGGCTGCAACATAGAGCACGTTCTTCTGTCAAAATGACAATCTTTGGTTTCTCTTTTCAGTAAAGCCGATTTTGCCCCAAGTGTCATCGCGTCATTAATTACTGTGTATGACATTTATGACCTTAATTGGTCATGGCCTTGGCCTAGTTTGCCATCCCACCAATACGTTCAAGGAAGTGCCAGTGTTTCTGTATCTGTCCATTGTTGTCTTTTACTGTGTATAACGTCGTCATATGAGCGATAATTCTCGAGCACGACGTAAAACCAAATTTCACCTCACCTCACCTTTTACTGTGTATATGTTTCCTAGGTGTTCGGACCCTTGGGCTAAAGACGCATTATGTTGGAAAGCGCACGTAAAATCTCCAAATCATCATCGTCACTGTTAGGCAGTTCGGTATACCGATTGCCTGTGTAGGACACGCCCTGAGGTTTAGCTGGATGTCCGCTGACCTCAGGTACTAAGCCGGAATATCCACTCATTGCTGTCTTGTGTATTTGTTTATTGTTTAACCAGTTTAAGAAGTTCGGAAAGTATTCTTCGTCTTAATTATGAGTTAGTTCCCCTGTTGACACCTTACACTATTGTCTTCTTATGTCTATACCACAATATATTTTTGTATGTGCTCAATATACTCTAGAATTCATGTTCGCTAGATGTTTGCCTGAAGATGCCTGTGTGGGGAATATTTGGAATGATCTACTGATATTTCAGAAATGTAGATACATCTGTGGCACAAACACAGGGTCATGGGTTATTGGCTCATGCCTAAATCAACATGCAAAATTTCGAAGGCCTAAACAAAATAAACCTGTTACTTATTACAAATTATCAATGTGCACAGTTTGGTGCTAAACCTATGTATTGTCAAGGACTCTAAATCACACTGGGGTATTCTGGGTTCAGACCCATTCATCCACCGTAAAACTTCATCCATATCAGTTTGGACTCAATGTATTCAAGCTCGGCGTCCAAGATTTACGGACCAGAGGGGAGTTATCATAGCGACTGATCCAGTACATGCGTTGATACAAGAACAGGACTCCGCGGGCCTGCTTTCTCAACACAACCATAAACAAGCAACCTTGACGTTGAGATTAGGTTCAACATCCTTAGCTCATTTTGAAAGCTGTGGAAACCCTGGTTTCATCACGAATTTTGACATGCTTCAAAAGAGAATCATCAGACAAATGCATGTGTGCAAAGGTGCACAATAAAGTTAACCTCCCCTTAATCCAGCCACGACCACCCATTATAACTGACAAATATTATGCGTTCAATTTCTTGTCCCGCCACAATATAACAGGGCAGGCACTGCATAATTAATACTGCTCTGGTTTTATTGAATGAGAAAATACAATGACCCTATGATATATAGACTGTATGATAAATGATTTTAATGTAACACTCATTCACTAACACTAACTTAACTGTCTGTTTTGTTAATATCTTCAAGACTACAAGTGACACCGACGCAACTGGTCTACCGGGTACGGTTGTTCATTTACAATGATCAAATGGCGTATCCAGGGCACCTTTAGCGGCATGGAACCTGATCATGTTAGCACTATGAAACCGGCTCTAGATCAAGTACACACACACACACACACACACACACACACACACACACACACACACACACACACACACACACACACACACACACACACACACACACGCACACACACACGCACGCACGCACACGCACGCACACACACACACACACACGCACACACGCACACACACACACACACAGAGACATGCCTTCGTGTAGTTATATAACTACAAAATGTTCAAGCGACACTGAGTTGAAATAGGCCAAACGGTGCGCAGGACTTACCCACATACACAAAGTTCAGAAGCTGGAACGCAGCCGTGAATGCATATATCTTGCTGACGAAGTACTGCAATAACTGATACCTCCCTCTACCACCCAGAGCATCCAGGAGAGGGTCAACTTCAGTGTGTACTTTTGGCATCTTGGCGTTACGGTGGACAGGTGTTGAAATGTTGTGAGACGTTCAAGGCTCTTGACGCTTTAACATCGTACCCACCCCCAGGAGGACTGGGGCCAATACCTGTGTGGCATTACATATGCTACTACGTCCCAGTTGCAGACCCAACACGCGGAAACTTTTCTCGGATTGCCTCTTCCAAGGCTATGACCAAACACAATATGTTGGTTTGCGTCTGCCTGCTATAGTGTATCGATAACATATATATACATTTATGTCAAGCAATGCTCCATGCCTCAGTGAAACAAAAAGGTCCAATGCAATTTCCTTTTCTGATTCACATTCCTTATAATAATTGGCTTGCCTTTAAATTTAAACAGGTGCCTCCGGAAGGACAGAATACGCCCACCTTTGTGAGAGCATCTGGTATAATGACTATTTAACAGTGATTTATGAGCATAAAACCATCATATAGTCCAAACGTACAATCGGCTCATGTTGGCACGTTTCATGAATAGATATATGTATTTTACTAATGAGGAGATGGAGATATTTTGCCAGTAAGGTCGGGATTCTCCTATTGCTTATGTATGTTTAACACATGGAAATTGCTTGCCATTCATTACGTGATGTTTAAATGTGACCGGGACTCAGTGATTGTCAAGCTGACAGGTGCTCACTTTAATTTAACCCTAACTAACACCCACACAGTACGCAATACCACGGCTTCCTGAATAAAAAACCGCAATGGGCATGCCGCACACAGAAATGACGCAAAACGAAAACCTTTTACAATGTTAAACAAAACACAATATTATTATTATTCAAGGACAGATATCATTGGTATCATTGTTATTCACAAGGAGTAGAAATATTAGTTCACTGGTCTTTCTGACAGTCGCTGAACCATATAATATCCCGCTTCATCCAGCATTAATCATTATTGTGATGCAAAGACCCTAAGTAAAACAAATCTGAGTTTTGTTTCAGTGGAGTTCTTTGTTTCCATCAAAATGGTAAATCTTCAGCGATTGGTTTATACTCATCGTTAACTGGTACGTTAACGCACCACCTGTCAACACTATACATGTTGGAACTTTCCAAGGTTATTTTCAAGTGACTTGCTGACGGTTGTTTTAAGTAAATCTCAGGTAATATTCACAGTTTGTTACTTCGACAACCGGGTCAGCATTTAAAAGTAGTCTTTCAAAAAGATATAACCACGATCACGCGTGCTCTGTACATGACGTTGTCTTCTCAAGACGGGTCAGTACGATTCCGATAACCGTGCGTGACAGAGAAAGACTGGCTTACTTATTGGATAACGCTAAGTGTCAGTGGAATTCCGAGTTAGGTCGGGCGGTCAGGGTGTCAGCTCCGGACAAGGTTATTCACTGATCGCAACAACCAAAACAAAACAACCCCCATTTCCCCACCACCCACACACACACCTCGTCATATAAAATAAAAGTCCAAAGAACGCGAGAAATTGTAATAAGAATTACAATAAATGAGAATCAAGAATATTATTCAGACAATGTTGCAATTGTCTTTATTAAGCTTATTCTTCTTTGGGATTTTTCCCCGACCGACCGACCCATGTTCAGAATTTGGTGGGTACGTGAAACACATAAAAAAAAATGATGCCCTAATTAACGCCTACTGCGTCTAGCCATACATCATCGTCGTCCATGACTGATGTGTTCTTGGTCAGCGTATTATATGGACTTCACCAAAGTATCCTTAAGGCACAGACAGTCTTAAGAAAAGTAATGACCCCTTCTATAATTAAATATATATTGGGAATCTTATGTCCAAACATAACATTAATATATAGAAATACCTGAGTATGTAATTACCGTTACAACACAAGCAGTGGGGTGACCTCATGACAAAATACAGAGATATATATTTAGTGTGATAAGGCAGAGTTATGTATATAATTGTTAAACATTCTATTAGGATTCTGTCGACGTTAACAATATATTTTAACTAGAATAACTTGTCAGGAATGTTTAACTATCTATTGTCAGCTGAAGTAAGCAATTTACAATACTTTGGTGTTTATAACTTATTGTGTGAAACCACAATAACTAATTGTTAATGTAAATACTCTTTTTAGCAAACATTCTACGAAACAAGTGTCTATGCTGAATAAACCTGAACTTGTCAAGTTGGGCAAATGTTATAAACATGACGTAAACACAAGTATAATGAAGGTCGATGTCAAGAAAATGTGGATAATCTACCTGGATGCGGAAGAAATCGTGGCTGGTGATGCTTTTCTTTGTTTAATTAGAAAATAACAGCTCTAGGCTTTAAAGAAATTATATTTTGAATAATCGGTGAAGAAAACTGAGAATTACAGAGCGGATGTCAGGAAACTCAAGCTGATGAAATTAAGCTCATTTAGTAGCTTAACAGCTTGTAGGTCATGTGATCTTTCCTGTTCCGCCATTGTCTCTGAACGTGATGTTGAAAATGTTTGCTTACATTTCGAAACGGTGGCTAACAGCTTAGAATGGCCATTGGAACCGTATTTGCACAGTTAACTTCGGGAAGTGTACCTTTCTTTACCTGTTAGGTTATTATTAGGTTGTTTAGACTGTAGTTTTAAACCTTATAAATTGGTTCTTAAAGCCTATAGGATAAGGGATGGTTCTACATTTGTTGAGCTGAGAAAGTTTTAGGATAGTTCACTCCCCTAATCGTTCTAGTTCCAACATTCCGTAGTCTGCTTCTGGGTTTGGTGAAACGTGTCAATGTTGTCGTAAGGTTGGGTATGTCATTTCAGAGTGTGAAAGAAAAGCAATTCTTCCCCGAATGCTTTTGTGAATGTCAGGTCGCAGCCTTTTTGAGGTTTGGTTAATGAAGAATCACCTTTTGTGGACCAGTTATAGAAGTCTGTTTTGTCAGACTTTTGTTGGTGAACGTTTTATCCCATTCCTTTTGGCTCTAACTTTGCAAACTAATACATTATCAGATTGCAACTACCGAAAGCGTCAAGTTAGGTTTGTTGCTATCTGATAAAAATTCTCAAGTCGGCAAGTTTGTTTGTGGGTGTATCTTGCTGCATAGATCTAGGAAGTCATTATGTAGATGCGGGTAACGCTGTGGCTGTAAATCCTTGCTGCCTTACTGGATATACCCAATCACGTCTGTAGCCTTGGAGAAGGGCATTGTCATTACTGAAATAAGTCACACACACACACACACACACACACACACACACACACACACACACACACACACACACACACACACATACTGACTAAGAATGAAAAAGTGCAAGTCTCAAATTCAGCACAAGGACCAGTCAAAACATACGAATACAAATGATTATAAAATCTTTATTTTGATCTTTACTGCATTTTTATTGCCAATTATATGAAAGTACACATCACATCAGTGAACGTAACATCAGTGTCCACACATGAATGAAAGCAGGTGTTTCTATGACGTCATTCTGTACCAGTCCTTCAGGTCCTCCAGAGTCTGTGGCAGTTCTCTCGCTTTGGTCTCTGGCAACACTTGAATCACAACCAGGGTGATGACAGACATTACAGTTAACAGGACACCCGGTGCCCAGATTATGTTATCCCCCTGAAGGAAAACAGAACGGAATATATAAACACATTTAGTCAACTTGATGTTTTGAAAGTTAACACAAGAACACCAGTTTGTGGTGGTATTAATACAAAGATGGTATAAGGTCTACTGGATTTAGAAGGATGATTTGATTTGTTATTCATCAATTTGCCCTACGTTGCCATCATCTTCAGCTTATAGCGACCACACTTATAAATTGTCTAGGTACTCTGGAGCAGGCAGATATAAGTCACTTTTCGAGTACAGTCAAGGGATAAAACCTTCGTGTTATTCAAGAGATTGTACGGTAGACATCTCGCTGTTAACATGATACGATCCTGCACTTTAACATGTCCAAGGACGTCTCACATCTACTTATGTACTTTTACTACAGGTACATGCCTCTCGCGAAAACCTGCTGTAATTACAGATTTGCAGGGATCCATTCAGCCCTAACTGGTATTTATGACCTTGGATTTTCATGGGCCGTTACTCGATTCACTCTTTAAAATCAGTTGTTTGATCTCCCTTGCGCTACAAACCACATGTAGACACAAGTCACACCAGGGCAACCTTTCGTGAACTTTGACCGACCAGTGGTGTGACTAACAAGAATTTTATATATATTAGCCAGATAGTAAGAAGCTTTCTCCGAAAGGCACAGGTCTTTGAAACTTCCTTTCATGACTACACTTTGAGATACAAATGTAAAGCGAACAAACAAATTAGAGAATTGTGAAAGAAGAGCTGGATTGTATGACTGCAGGTCTAACGTACAATGGAAAGGTTCCTCCGTTTCAAACGTATATCTGACTGAAGAGGGAGAGAGAGAACGAGAGTGAGTGAGTGAGTTTAGTTTTATGCCGCACTCAGCAATATTCCAGCTATATGGCGGCGGTCTGTAAATAATCGTGTCTGGACCAGACATTCCAGTGATCAACAGCATGAGCATCGATCTGCGCAATTGGGATACTCAGTCAGTCCGTCAGTCAGTGAATGAGTAGAAACATGCTTGCGACTGTCACTTTTCCCAATCAGGTATTCAACATTGTTGAGTGGTCTAATGAAAGGCCTTGATGGAGTGATCCTTGAAGGCATGTCCTACATTCTTTGTTCAGAGGGAGCGATAACTAACTATATTGATAGATACAGATGGGAAAGTGTCATTTACCATAAGTATGATAAACGGGGTCAGTATGCAGCCAATTCTACCAATCGCGGCCGATGATCCAAGTCCAACGTTCCTGAAACAAGCAAGTACTGATCATGACTAGGAGACGAAATTTTGCTTTGTAATTCATTCACCGTTATCATGTGTTGTCACGTGTCCTACTCTTTATGTATGCAAGCACACGGGAGCCTACATTTGGCATGTGAGTGTGCACATGAACGTATAGTTGTATAATGTAGTACACAGCTTTTGACGCATGAAAACAATTTATCTTACACAGTTTATAAGTAACATCTTTGGGGGAAATATATTTGTGTGTCAGTAACTACTGACCCGTGGCCGCAGTGACCTGACCTGGTAGATTCCTTACAGACCCTACACAGACGAGTTCACTGACATGAATTAAAAAACAATTGAGCAGGGGCAATGATGAAAGTCAAGCTAAACATTATGACCACATTACACCCGCATAGGATGGCCAATGGGTGCTTATGGGTGCTTGTGGTCAGACCATAGATGGATACAGCATGGGTGGGGTGTGTGGGGATGGGGGCGTGTGTGCAGGGGTGCGCACCCCCCTTTTGTCCTCAAAGTGTATTAAATGACCCGTGAAAACGGGTAAAAATGAAGTGTGTACCCCCAGCCTCTTTCTCAAGAGTGTGCACTCCCACCCCCTTTCCCTAAAAGCTGTATACTCCCACCCTTTTCTCAAAACAGCTGTATCCGCCCCTGTCAGATGCCTTACCTCATGGTGGTTGGAAAGATTTCTGGAGTGTAAAAGAACAAAGTTGACATAAATTCATGAATCCCCATGGCTCCAAAACAGGAGAAGACTGTCGATGCAATTGCTGCATTTCCTTCATTCGCTGTCGAAAATGAAAATAAGAATATATATACCAGGTTAGAACATGTCCCAAACTTGTCGTAACAGGCAGCCTGATGGATCGTGTAACGTTGTAAATTGTGCGAGATTGAACACCGATGGCGTGGACCCTTGATCTATAGTATAATTGGATTACCTAGTACAGAGTGGTTCTTTATTTAAAAAAGTTGGAACATTGCTAATAATAATAATAATAATGATCAGGAAATTTGAATAGTGCTGATCTCCACACCTCATGGGCATGCTCTAACCGCATACAACAGTTCAAGTTAATTGTAATATCTCCCAAAGAGATAGGTCTCGAGATCAGCGATAAAAATGTCAAGTGAGGGAGAGCATCTCAGATCATAGGGAAGAGAGTTCCATGGTACAGCTGACGCATACTGAAAAGTTCTGGCACCAAATGATTTTAACTTGTAGGAAGGAACACAAGGGAGCACTGATCGGCAGAGCGTAGGCTTCGTGTAGGCTTCGTGTAGGCTGGTAGAAAGATGTTAAAGTTCGTAGGTATGGAGGAGATGTCTTGTGAACAGCCTGGTATGTCAGTGACAGAATTTTGAACTGTATCCTCTCTTCTACACGTAGCCAGTGAAGAGATTTGAGGACAGGTCGAATGTGATCTCTCAGCTTAGTCCCAGTCACTACCCTTGCTGCAGTGTTCTGCAATCTTTGCAGTCGCTGAAATTGATTATTGGTGATACCATAGAGGAGGCTATTGCAGTAGTCGAGACAATACAGAATAAGTGATCACATGAGAGTTTTAGTGACATTCCTTGATAGGAGATGTCTAATAGCACCAATGTTCCTGATGTGATGGCAAGTTCTGGATAGATAGCTGATGTGATCTTCCATGGTTAGAGATGAGTCGACGTATACGCCAAGATCTTGGCGTGAAAAAAGGAACATATTTCCTCCAATAAGGAAACCCTCCACTGAATACTTCTGGAATCTGTTAGGTGGAGAAAATACAATGACCTCTGTTTTATCCGCATTTAATTTTATCTCGTTATCAGTCATCCATGATTTGACACTGATAACACATGACTCCATATCACAACATGCTGGCTCCTGATGTGCTCTCTCCACAGATAGGGCTTTCGTCAGTTGAGAATCGTCTGCATAGAAAGGGTTTCCAGTTGATGGTCAGATATCAATCTTCCCAAAAGTTTTGTACACATGGTGAAGAGAAGGGACCCTAAAACAGACCCTTGAGGGACACCGCAAGACAAAGGTGCCTTCTGAGAAACTGAATTCTATCGCATCTATGGCCTATCACATGTAAGAGTCACACCACCGAAGAACAGTATCATCTAAACCATATTCCAGTTTATGACGATCAGTTAATATGGTATGGTCCACAGTATCAAACGCAGCGGAACATGGCAATGCCTGTGTATAGACTAGCACTGATGAGTTGTGTCAGTACTGGTAACACGACATCGAGAACTTTCGACATCGAGAAAATTTGAAGGAAGTGGGTCAAGACGACATGTAGACTGTGCAGATTGACAAATTTCCCTCCTGTGAATGGATGCAAACTACATGTAGTTTCACTTTGTGGGGATACGAAAACCACTGCGAATCTTCTCTATTGTCCCAGAGAAATATTCACTGAAACGTTCAGCAACCTCTGTATCGTCATCATTTGGGAGGACAACACATTGGAAAGTAGGTGGTTTAAAGTCATAAACAACTGCCTAGGATTGTTTGAGTTCATCTCAATGTCCTCGTTAATACGAGCAGTCTTAGCTTTTCTAGTCAACGTATTGACTTTGTTTCGACATTCCTTGTAGATTTGACGATGAATCTCTAAACGAGTTTTCCGCCAATGACGTTCAAGCCACACGTCTTTTTGCTTTCGTCTCCAAAACTTTATGTAAAAACCAGGACGTATTATCTTTCTGAGAAACAACAAGCTTGTTGTGATTTTAATTCTTTGACTTGTTTCCGGGGGCATTAGGGGAACTCTGACATGAATAGTCAACATCGTAAAGAGTAGATAAATACATTCCTACCCGACAGGATTCTGATGGCTGTAACTACTGTTAAGCCTCCAGTTGCAAGTAGGCACAGCGCCATGAGCGTCGACTTTCGTCCATATCTGCAGTATCAAACATACTACAAACAGTTATCTTATCAACTCACTCTTAACCTAGTCACGTTTTAACCAATCGGAAATTAAATAATTAAGCAATGATCCACTTACATCCATAATAAGGCCTCACTAACCATGTATTGTTCACACAAAGCAATTGTTTTTGCAAACTCAGTTTTTCTGGTGTCCCGGGCCGTGATATTACTGGAATATATCCAAACCATACTCACTCACTGACTCTGAGGGTGTGGGTTCGAATCCCGGATGGGACTCAACCCAACAAAAGTACTAGAATCTGTACTTTACTAAGAAAGTGTAATCCAAAATATAACATATGCATCATAAGTATTTTTAAGAGCTTCAATTTGTTGTTTTCTTTTGGACTCCAATGATCTAAGCAATTATCATGACAGTGTTGCCCACTTCGAGAATGTACCGCCAGACTATCCTTTTAAACAAACAGCTACGCAGTTTGGCATTTGCAGCTGGTGCAGAACAATGCAACTCATAGCAATTGTCTTGGAATTGTATTTTAGCCACACACACTTCGTTAGATGTTCCTTTGTTTTCAGTTGCTTTTCACATAACCGATGACGATTAATTTCCGACAGTCGCTGGGATGAAAGGTTTCAATCGCGTCCACCATCCATTCCTGTTTTTTACAACGATAATATTTTTGCTGTGCCAAACTGGAAACCTATTTTGACATTATGTTTAGTAAACAAGAACAGTGTGCCTGTCGGCAGTTCGTGAAACCATATAGAGTAATCAATCTTCACACCGCTATCGAAATGGTCATTAACACAATGGGAAGTCCGGTTATGAGCTGAACTTCAACTGAGAAACAGGCGATCAAGAACCAATTGGGTCGGAAGGAAGGTTTTGGTCTGTCGGGTAATCGAACCAAATATGTTTTGTTAGAGCTGATTTGCCATTTACAAACTAGCTGTTTTTTCTTATTAAAACTAAAAACAAAACAAAAACAAAAACAACAAAAAAAAAAAAACCTAGCTGTTTTGATCTATTGTATAGTGTGGTGCATAGCACGCACCTGTCTATCATGAAATAGAATATGATACCAGATGGACAGGATATGATGGCGACCATGAAGAAGTTGACATATATGCTAGCAGCCAAGGTGTCTGATGTCAGGTATATTCCAAACAGGATCATACTGCAGGACAGCCTAGAACAAGACAACCAGCGTCCTTAATGGAGCCACATACATTACGAAAAATAATCGGTTTAATAATCCTTTTGTTCTGCTTCTGAAGTTGCTAATCACATGTAACATGTGTGCTGTGTGCTGTAATATGCAAGCACTTTAGTATTACATTCATTGTCTGTGAGTGTGTGGGTATATGCAAGCACTTATTGTCACATTCATTGTCTGTGAGTGTGTGGGTATATGCAGGTATATGTTACATTTATCGTCTGTGAGTGTGTGTGTATATGCAAGCACTTTAGTATCACATTCATTGTCTGTGAGTGTTTGGGTATATGCAGGCATATGTTACATTTATCGTCTGTGAGTGTGTGGGTATATGCAGGCACTTATTGTCACATTCATTGTCTGTGAGTGTGTGGGTATATGCAGGCATATGTTACATTTATCGTCTGTGAGTGTGTGGGTATATGCAAGCACTTATTGTCACATTCATTGTCTGTGAGTGTGTGGGTATATGCAGGCATATGTTACATTTATCGTCTGTGAGTGTGTGGGTATATGCAAGCACTCTATTGTCAATTCATTGTCTGTGTGTGTGGGGGTATATGCAGACATGTGTTACATTTATCGTCTCTGGGTGTGTGGGTATATACAAACACTTGAAAACAATGGAAAATGATAGCTAAGGTGGATAAAAATCATAGAAAGTTGTTGGTGGAATATACCATTAAGTTAGCTAATCACATCTAATATGTGTTTTGTGTGTTGAAATATACAAGAACTTTAGTGTCACATTCATTGTCTGTGAGTGTGTGGGTATATGCAGGCACTTTATTGTCACATTCATTGTCTGTGAGTGTGTGGGTATATGCAGGCATATGTTACATTTATCGTCTCTGGGTGTGTGGGCATATACAAACACTTGAAAATAATCGAAACATAATGGTTAAGTTTCATAAAATCATATAAGGTTGGGTCGCGGAATATGCCATTAAGAGCTCACCTGGGTCCTCTGTCTAGAGTTCCTGTTTGAATATGTTCCCAATTTTCTACCCGCCCCTTCTTCAATCGCTTGTAAAGGTACCGATGCAGTTTTAACTTTCTTGCAACTCACCATCGTTTGTCACCATCAATGTTACTTACCACATATACCACATAGCAATAGTATTGATAGCTAGTCGTTTCACTTTCAACAGATCGGCCAGAGAATGGGTAACATTCAGTGTGGGTGTAGGGGCATCTTGGCTTAGTGATGCTGGAGTTTTAGGCTCCACTTCAAAGGACAGCGTCATCGGTAACAGTGACCGGTGATGCTCTTGGATGTTACTAAACACTTCCAAGACGTGTGTTTTGTCAACTCTATTTACTCTCGCTACTTTTTCTAGGTGTTTCCTGATGTCATCCATCCTGCCGTGGAGTATCAGCCATCGAAGGGTTTCATCAAGGAAACTGGAAAATATGGAGTAAATCAGCTTTGTTGAGTAAACGATTCATTATCAGTCACCCATCAAACTTAACTTTTGACATAAAACGGTTGAAATGAAAAGCTTATTTAATGTCATGTTCTCTCTCTCTCTCTCTCTCTCTCTCTCTCTCTCTCTCTCTCTCTCTCTCTCTCTCTCTCTCTCTCTCTCTCTCTCTCTCTCTCTCTCTCTCTCTCTCTCTCTCTCTCTCTCTCTTTCTCTCTCTCTCTCTCTCTCTCTCTCTCTCTCTCTCTCTCTCTCTCACTCTTTCTCTCTCTCTCTCTCTCTCACGCACACACACACACACACACACTATGATGTTATGGTGCTATCTGATGGCCTTTTTGTATGCTTGTATATCAGCACAATTGTACCTATCAACGTCACACATTGACTACATATACTGTACCTATAAATACGCCAAGTTATGGTGCTATTTGATGGCATTTGCAGACTTTTTCTATAGAAATATCATTGATTGTTTGGTATAGCTTGTATATCAGCACAATTATTAATTGAACTGTTACAGGATTGTGGCAGTTGTTTCGCTAGGACACTACAAAAATCACCTTCTATAATGAAACAACCAAAGTGGTGGGATATTGAATGTGAACAACTTAAAAATCTTAAATATAGATTATTGAGAAATTTTAGACATAGTGACTCAGATGTAGACCTGAATATTTACCCGAAAGCCAAAAATAGATTCAAATCAACATGTCACAGGAAGATAAGTAAACAAGAAGAAAACAATGTGGATATAATTTGTGATAATAATATTTCTATTTCAGATATGAGGAAGACTTCAAAATATTTAATAATAAATCCACAAAAACAAGTCCTATCTCTCCAGATGAATGGATTAATCACTTTCAAGAACTCTTCACTAATACAAACCATGAACTAAATGATGACTTTGAAAACTTTGTGAAAGATTTTATTGATAATGGCAGTGAACCACATAATATATCAAATAGTATTGCAGACATAGACTATCCTATTTCATCAGAAGAAGAATTCTCAGCAGTGAAACATTTTAAAACAAATAAAGCTCCAGGACCTGATGGAATAGTTATTGAAATGATTTTATCTGGACTTCATTGTATTTTAGTAATTTGGTTATTATATTAAATTATGTATGAGAGTCAGGCAAATATCCACAATCATGGTGTGATGCCATCATTCATCCTTTACATAAGAGTGGTAACACTTCAGACCCTAATAATTTCTGGGGAATATGCCTTTTGAATAGAATTGGTATTTTTTTTACAAAAATAGTTAACAAAAGAATTGTAGCTTGGGCAGAGGATCAAAGTAAACTCTTTAAGGAGAAAGCTGGATACAGGCGAGGCTATAGTACAGTAGATAATATATTTATGTACAGTTTGCAATAACTATGGTATGAAGGTAAACATGCAAAAGGTGGGATAATAATATCATCAGAAATATGGAATTATGGAGGGCATGTTTTAGATCAGTTTCTATTTATAAATATTTAGGCATATATTTTACACCTTCTTTAAGTTTGGGAAAAGCCTGTGAACATTTATCTCAGCAAGCAAGGAAGGGAACCTTTTGTCTTTTAAAGTTTATTAAGCGTTATAACATCAACATTTCTAAATCATTGTTTTTATTTGATAGAATGATTTTACCCATCCTCGTATACGGCTCTGAAATTTGGGGATATCAAAATATGTCATGTATTGAAAGTATTCAACTATATTTTTGCAAACAATTACTAGGTCTTTCAACTATTACTAGTAATGCCGCAGTACTTGGTGAGTTAGGAAGGGATCCATTATATGCAACGTATATATCAAAATGTATTAAATACTGGTTGAAAGTATTGTCCATGCCAGATTGTAGATATCCACTTATTTGTTATAAAATGATGTATTCTCTTGATAATGTTGGTAGACAAACATGGGTTGGATTTGTTAGAGACATTTTGTTTGAGTACGGCTTTGGTTTTGCTTGGCTAAATCAAGGTGTTGGAAATGTGCATATGTTTTTACATTCTTTGTACAAAGACTCAAAGATGTCTCTATTCAAAAATGGTTATGTTATATAAATGAAAATGTTAAATTAAATTTCTATGAAAAATTTAAGTTCTCACTTAGTTCTCACTGAATTCTCACTCAGCCTGAACAATATTTGATTAACATAAAAAGACAACTTTTTAAGAAGTTTTTGACTAAATTTCGCGTGGAAGCATTGAGTCAGGGCGTTGGGAAAGTATCTCAGTTGAAAATAGAGTGTGTTTATATTGTCAAAGATTTATTCAATAAGATTGCTTGAGGATGAAGAACATTTCCTTTTGATTTGTCCATTGTTTGAAAATTTAAAGAATGAATACATACATATTGCAAAAGATTAGTATAATGTTACTAATATCATGTCAATTTGTAACAAGCAGCAAGCATGGAAGTTAGGAGCTTTATATTTTACAGCTTTAAATTCAGACAAAACTGGATTGAAAACAATTGTAAAAGATTTAAATGTATCATGTAAGCATATTTAAACGTTGTTGGCAAAACAATCAAATATTGTCATATGTCATAATTTATATAACAAGGTACTCTGTCAAGTTTATTCAATGACTATATACATGTGAATTATGGGCCGGATGGCCTACATTTCCGAAATAAAATCAATCAATCAATATCAGCACAATTGTACCTATCAACATCACACATTGACCACATGTACTGTACCTATAAATAAGTGAAAAAATGGTAAATAATAATATGAATAAAAAGCTCATGTTGTAATATTTGAGTCTATACTTTCCTGCAGTGACACAGGTAGGATATAATGTTACAACAACTCACACTACTTCAGCAAGTACAGGAAGGCAAACAGAAGTTACTCCCAGCTGTACCCATCTCCATGACTGATCCCGCAGCGAATAGGCGAGGCCGGCTAATATTACCATACCCCATACCCGGAATTGGTTGGTGATAAAGCCGAACAGCTTCCGGTGCTGCGCCGGAAACAGCTCCACAGAAATGGTCGCATCAGTCACTATCAAGCCCTTTTTGCGAAATAATGTAAGTGTTAGGTGACGATGGCGAAATAATGTAAGTGTTAGGTGACGATTAAATGTTCACACGTAGCACAGTCCACATAGTTGGATAGACACTGTATGTACAAATTATACATTTCTCAAAGATAAGTTGGATGTGTCATTGAGTCGTTTTGTGGAAAGTGCCAGTGAAATACCACGAGATCCTGCAGCAGAGATATCACAACGCGGGAAGACAAATCTTTGGATAGAAGCTTTATCTCCCCATTAACAGGTTTCTCTACGAGTGTATATATCGGCCATTGTTTATAGAATAGCTTGCGCAGTTACGCATCAGTTACGTGTGGCGTACATGTTAGTGATCAGATTTCATGGATTGTATGTACTGTCTGTCTCTATTCACGATTCCGCAAATCTTGCCGTGTTACACTTACCGAATGCACGATTCCAATAAAGAACCGCATCACCAGGAATACTGGGTAATTAGGTGAGAAGGATGAACAGATTCCAAGAACCAGAATACAGAAGTGCGAGATGAGATGGACCGGTCGTCTTCCATAGCGGTCGGATACTGCTGGCAGTGAGGCGGCTCCAATAACTTGCCCCAGAAAGAAGGAGGACATGCCCAATGCCCGAAGGGGACCCTTCTCACAAATTAGTTCCATCTGAAAATCGTTTTGTTTTTATCAAATCCGCAGTATGTTTCATCACATACAAAATTCATAGTTCATTGCCAGCAATTCCTCTGTGTACAAACAATGTAAGCAGACGTAGATTGTTATGTTCCACAAGTCACGTTTCGAGAATACGTTGAAGAAGGACGCAATGGTCATTAGCTGTTGGTACTTTATCGTACATTAAATCATTAAAGAAATACAAGATTGTTCCAGTGAGTGAATTTCAACACAAGTGCAACATAAACAATGGAAAAGAAATATCAGACTATTGACTAATAGTCATGATTACTTTCTGTACAGGCAGTTTTTGAATGGCGAATGCCTGCTCACTTCTGATGGTATTGAGAACACCTGTCCATTCTGATATCATGGATAATACATGCTCACATCCGATGTTATAGAAAATACACACTCATCTCTGATGTTATAGAAAATACACGCTCACATCTGATGTTATAGAAAATACACGCTCACATCCGATGTTATAGAAAATACACACTCATGTCTGATGTTATAGAAAATACACACTCACGTCTGATGTTATAGAAAATACACACTCACATCTGATGTTATAGAAAATACATGCTCACATCTGATGTTATAGAAAATACATGCTCACATCTGATGTTATAGAAAATACATACTCACATCTGATGTTATAGAAAATACACGCTCACGTCTGATGTTATAGAAAATACACAATCTCGTCTGATGTTATAGAAAATACATGCTCACGTCTGATGTTATAGAAAATACACACTCACGTCTGATGTTATAGAAAATACATGCTCACGTCTGTTGTTATAGAAAATACACACTCACGTCTTATGTTATAGAAAATACACGCTCACGTCTGATGTTATAGAAAATACACACTCACGTCTGATGTTATAGAAAATACACACTCACGTCTGATATTATGGAAAGGTCCTTTCTTTCAGCAAAACTGTAACCAAACAGACATGGTAGCTGCTTCGTCTCAGTGACACCACTGATGTTTGCCGTGACTCTGATGTTACACTTGTCGTAATAGATGTTGCTGTTATTGATGGTGAAGCTGTCGTCGTCAATGGCTGTGATGATTTCAGACATGTTGCCAGCCTTATCGCAGACATGCGGAATATGTTTCCCTGAAAGTTTCCGATTATATTTAACTGGCTTGTTTAATACCTCATTAATGACAGTGATGTAGTAACACATTTTCAAATGCGAGTTATATTTCATGTCGCATTAAACAGTATTCCAGTTACATCATGAAGGGTTGGCTTTTTGTGGGAGTAAACCCCAAGGTGCGGCAGGTGGTTTTACCACCTTGGCCAAACCCATGAGTACGGGTATGGTGCTGACAACCTATTACATAAGTGGGGCGAAATGAGATTCGAACCAAAAGGTTTCAGGTGTGTCAAAGGGCTCCAACTCAGCGAATTGCATTGCCTCAGACGACTTTATGAAAATATCCCATAAAAGGCTTTACTCAAGAGCTTCAAGGAAACTGAAGCAAGGCTTGTCTATTCGCCTACAGCATCAATCACTTGAACACAAATGCTTTTCTAACCAGGCAAAGAGTTTTCTGAGGTGTGAGTATGATGATTGGTTTGTCTACACTTCTCTCTTTTCATGGACATATGTGGACTGTGCTTCGTAATTAAGTAATAGTTTCTTAATGTAAAAGACTACCCTACATACTCAAACACCCTAAACACAACAAGTATATATGACATATTTACATACGTAAACATTATGGCATTCAAACATTCATCTAAGCATCTCAAATGCAATGTATGAAACATCCATATTCGATATTCTGACTATATCGTGGATGAAAAACGACTTTTAAATTGTACATGGAACTCACAAAACACGTCAAACACCTTTAAGGTTGTGTCTAACAAGCCATCCAGGCTAAAGATGATTTGTTTTAATTCATGACGAAAGTAAAACTTGTCTGCATTTTAAAAAAGTAATCACCTATTATTTACATTTTCAGAAGTAACATAAAATCACTGTGCTTCTCGAACTGTACACATTTTGACATTTCTCCAGGTAGTATGTTCTGTTTGTTTTACGAAAAGCCATACAATGACCGAGAGGAGATCTACGTCCCCTGACTGTGACACTTTCGCTTGTTATGTCAGGGTTCCAAAATTCTCCAGAACTTCCTCCTTACCAGTGACGCTTCGTAGTATAACCCAAATACTGCCCAATGCAGGCGTAAAAGCCTCTTCACACACTCGAAGATCGCATCAAAAAGCTCAAATACAGAAACTTGGAACAGTACACAATTCATGACTGTCACAGATCATATCTCTAGATAAAAATGTTACTTACCTACAAAAACAAAGGCGAATATAACAACTGCTGAAGAAACAGTGGATGTTTTACAGAGGAAAAACTGTAGTATCTGGTAACGACCTTTTCCGTTCAAAGCATTCAACACAGGATCCACTTGAATGTTGGACGCCATTGCAGCAGCTTTGTCGATGGAATGTTAACGTCGATATGAATACGTTGACAGGACAAACCTCCCTGCCATTCAAATGTGTATGCGCATACATACATTACTTTTCATCCTAAGTCATCAGTTAGGATACAGTCATTAATTTATCAGATGTCTGTGTTGTTTACTTATAGTTTCAAACGTGAATGAACACGTTAATAATTAATAGGGTCACGAAGCACATATACTTTAAGGCTATAACTAGGTCGTGGGACTATGGACCTCTCATGGTTTAATCACAGGGCAGTGACCAACTGCGTGTTCACGAATCCCCACTCGGACGTCTTGTGAATTTCTGTCGAAATCAGTCAGGATTGCTAAGTTAGATGTTTGATTACATGGCCGACACGAACGCATAAGTCTCCCTACTAACTAGTTGAACATTTAGTTGACACTTTGAAGTTGGGATTATCCTGAATTTGATGTCTTTTTCGACGGCGCACGCTGACCACCATTCTGCTGCACTTCAGTTTGGTTCCTATATATTCGGCCACAGGGAATAAGAATAACTCGAAGATGCTGGGATGGGCCTTGTCATCGAAGGTGTGCCATCATCTTTGTCATCTCGAATTTGGCGGCGCAAAGAAGTTTGAGATCGGTCGTTGAATTCGAGAATACGGACTAGCGTCTGTTTGCTGCGAGCTGTCTTGCGTGAGTGAGTATGGTTTTACGTCGCTTTCAGCAATATTCCAGCAATATCACGGCGGGGGACACCAGAAATGGGCTTCACACATTGTGAGGTGAAATTTGATTTAACGTCGTGCTTGAGAATATTTCGCTCATATGACGATGTGCATGCGTGTGTGTGTGTATGTGCGGCTGCTTGTACTAGCCCAGACTGAAGCTGGTTTCATAGTGCCAGCCCACTGAGATACCATGCGGCAGTGAAGCATGGATACCCCACTCGGACACATTATACTGACTCCGAGCCGACCAGTCCTTGTTGTACCCATTAATGCCGAGCGCCAGGCAGGGACCAGCAAGTACCATATTTTAACGTCTTTTGGTATAACGCGGTCGGGGATCGAACCCGCGACCTTCCGTTCTCCAGGCGGACGCTCTAACCACTACGCCACGGAGGCGGTCTTCACACATTGTACCCATGTGTGAAATCGAACCCCTATTTCTCAGCGTGATGAGCGCACGCTTTAACCATTGGGCTATGAAATCGAATAATCCACATTGTTACTTAATCGATGTAGTAGCTTATGTAAGTATGTAAGTCTTATATCTGTGCTGTAATCTTTATTGACCAAAGATACAGTATCTAAAATTCTCTTTCAAAGAACTTTGTGAGAAAACAGTGTCCGGTACAACTGGACAGCCCCACTGTCAAGAAACTAAGGGAGGTAACTGGTACGATGAAAACTACAAGACTTTCTGTTTACCCAAGATTACGTTTGACAAACTTGAGTCCAATTGCTTTGGCTCGGGATATCCATAAAAACATTGGCGATGTGGAGTATATGAAAAAACTGGAAAAGGGAGATTTAGTGATACACTGCAGGTCTGCTGAGCAACTTAACCTTGCACTGAATGTAGCGTGTGTCTGTGACGTTCGTGTTAAGAGTTCTGTCCCTAAGAGTCTTAGTGAATCTAAGGGAGTTATTTACAATGTTGACACAGATGTAAATGAGGATGAGATAGTTGAGCAATTGAGAAGTCAAAAGGTTAAAAGTGCCCAAAGACTTTTGCGTGGAAAAGAAAAGGAACTTACTACTTCCATTCTTCTTACTTTCTCAACCCCACATTTGCCTGAACGTGTTAGGATGTATTATCAGTCCTTTCGAGTGCGTCTGTATATCCCACCAGCTATTAGATGCTACAATTGCCAGAAATATGGCCATGTTTCAACACGATGTAAAAGTAAAAAGCCTGTATGTCCCAGGTGCAGTGGTGAGCACAAAGTAGAAAATTGTTCGGAAACAGTATCGAAGTGTTGCAATTGTGGTGGTAGCCACAGTGCTGCCTACAAGGGATGTGAGAAATACAAGGAGGCAGTATCTGTGCAAAGGGTACGAGTAGAGAGTAAACTGTCTTATGCTGAAGCAACTCGTATAGTCAAGTCCACTCCAGCTCCATCTTATGCAGCTACTGTAACCGCCGCTCAGAATCACGATCTGTGTCGGTACAAGCCTCACAAACAACAGTTGGAACCCGTCCTGTTCCTGTTGCAGCTACATCTGGGTCTAACCCTACCTGTATTTGTAAATGTCAGTCACGAGAGTCAAATTTAAGCCAGAGTGTATCAAATCCATCTGTTACAGCTCAAGTCAGCTCTCCACAGGTAGCCAATCCATTTCTTAGTACTTCTCCTCAAACCTTTTTAACGTTCTTGTTTGAGGTGATTTCAGGATGCTTTAATGCAACAACCAAAGAGGAACAGATTAATCGTCTTGTGTCGGCGGCAAAAATACATCTTCACATCGATGTTCCTAGTGATCTGTTGACTGAGGTACATGTGGAGATGAATGATGGATAAAGCATTAGTATTCTTGACCATAATGCAATGGAATGCACAAAGTCTCGTTGCACATGGGGATAATTTAAAGCATTTTCTATCAAATAGGTCACCACTGCCAGATGTTATTTGTGTACAGGAAACTTTTCTTTGGCCAGAGAGTCATTTTAGAATTAATGGCTATTTTGGTCTACGTCAGGACAGACTAACCAGCAATCCGAATACTAAAAATCCTCGGAGAGGTGGTTGCGCTATATTTATTAAGACTGATTTGTCGTATCAGGTTCAAGAATTACCAAATACAGTGTATGAGGCTAACGCAGTAAAACTTCATTATGAGGAAGATAAAGTCATTACTATTGTTAATATTTATAATACAGGTAAGCCAAACGTAGATGAATATCTGAAATTAATTGATCCCAATGGAGGCCCATATTTTATATGTGGGGACTTCAACAGCCATAATATGTTTTGGGGAAGCAACAAGACAGATTATAATGGTCGGATTGTTGAACAATTTTTAGATGAAGCAGATCTTGTCCTTTTAAACGATGGTAAAATGACCCGCATGGATCTTGGCAAATGGACTTTTTCTCCTTTAGATCTATCAATGATATCATCACACATAGCCAGTAAGTGTAACTGGGATGTATTTCAGGAAGATGCATTAGGTAGTGACCACTTTCCTGTTTTTACTGAAATTCAGGTTCGACCATATCGTGATTCTTGTGATAAAGTCCCTCGGTGGAAATTCAAGAAGGCTAATTGGGCCCTTTTTTCTAGTCTGTGTACTGAACATATCACACCCGATCTTATAAATGGTGATGTTAATATGTCTAATGAAAATATCACAACACAATTAATAAGAATTGCAGAAGAGTCCATTGGAAAATCGTCTGTTAAGAAAGCGGCATTCCCGCCAAAGTCCTGGTGGAATGACAGCTTGTGAAAAAGCCAATATCGCAAGGAAAAAAGCATATAATAAGGTTCGCCACTCGTCATTGCCATGTGATTTGGCTGATTTTCGTAAGAAACGAGCTACGTTCCAACGTATTGTACGGAGTACAAAACGGTTGAGCTGGAGGGAATATATTTCTAATATTAATAGATTTACATCATTAACTAGTATCTGGT